TGGGCCTTGTTCCCCACAGACAGCAGCACATCTGATCCCCTCCGCGGTGTTCCGGGTTCTAGGGCGTTGCCGTCGGCTCCAGCGCTGGATCTACCATCAACTCGTGTTCTGTCTGCACAATGCGTCGTCTTTGCGGGCGCTGCTGAGTGCATGAACAGCTGACACGTGCGCTAGGACCTCCTTCCCCTAAGCGTTCTGGGCATTTCCAGGGCATCTCTGCAGGAGCCTGGCACCCCTTGCTCACCGTCCTGATCATGTTACCTCCAGAGTGACCCAGAGGGTAAGAGCGCAGCAGAGGAAAAGCCCCTGTAAAGCTTCTGTCCAACAGATGAGAGAATGGTGCCAGGGAGGTTCATGTTCTCACTCAGGCTCCTGCAGTTACGGGATGTAAACGTGTGACTGGATCCGGGCACCCTCCCTGGTTCCATCACTGCACTACGTGGAACTGATTTTATTTGAGTGTTTTCAACACGCCATTGACTGACAGCCATGTCTCTTTGATCCTTCCTTATTTTTTTGTTTACTTCCTCAGTTACCAGGGGTTTTGGGGTATAGAGATGCATCAGGCACCTCCCCTTCTTCCAGGACAGTGGGAAGAAACTCTCCACTGTGGGAGGCCACTGAGCTCCTGGTTTGATTATCCAAAGTCACGGGTGTTTGTTAGAGTCGTACGTGGGGGAGCAGCTGCAGCAGCCCCCACACCTTTGGGGGACTGCCTTGGCCAGTGATATTTCCTATAAGGTAGGAACCTGCTGGACTTCCGGATACACAACAGATTCTGCGTGAGACCATGCTCATATATCTGTCCTTGTTCACACAGACCCAGAGGGTTTTCAGAACCACGCGCTCCCCTGGGGTGGGGGATGAAGAGCCACTGTGGGCCCAAGAGTCATGAATCCTGGCACAGCACGCCTCTTGACTCCCAGGGTATCAGTGTGGCTTTGGGGCGGAGCTGGCCTTGAGGGTCTTGATGATGAATCTATTCCCCCACGGCACCATCGTGGTTCAGTGGTTGGGAAAGTAGGATTGGGTGGCTGAGAGACACCACCAGTGGAAAAGAGTCTGTGCTGCCGATTGGACTGACACAGCATGACACACGACGACAGCTGCACAAGGGCAAACGGAACTGTAATGATGGTGACACCCCGCATGCCCGGTTTGTCTGCTCCCAGGGGCTGCGCCGACCACACCACATGGGGTCACCATAACGTTTTCCACATCCTGGATAACTGCTTTTGTCCACTGAAAAGATGGTTCTAGGGTCACTTAGGAACTTACATTTTAAAAATGTTATTTGATGTATGAAAATCACACATTAAAAAAATGACTTCCTTATCTCTTTGAATTCAACTTTGATTAATGTTTGATCCTATTTATAAACTTAGACCATGAAATTCCCTCAAGTGTCTTAAATGGAATTAATATATGTAACATATTTGATTTTCTTCTTTTTTTTTTTTGGTATTTCAATTGTCTAGCTAGCAAACAGACCTTCCAAGCATTTAAACAGTGCTTGTAAATCTAATAAGTTAAGCTAACAAATATGAAGCATCTTTAATTCTCTGGGTTTTAATATACTTTGTGAGCTGAGTAACATTTTCCTATTCCTCTAACATAAGCTTTTTTTTTCTTAAATGGAAACTAATATTAAAGGGCACAGTCTGAAGTGTAGGGCAGGAATGAATGAATGAATGAATGAATGATTTGTAGAAAGAAAATAGACTCATGTTACCAACTCAAGGCAAAAATATAATCACCCAGAAGCCTCCCTTGCCATGTGCCCCAGACATCACCTGCCAAAAGTTCCTGCTATTTTTACTTATATCACCGTAAGTGTTTTTCCCTAAATTTATCTAGGTAGAATTCAGTCAGCAGTCTTTCAGGTAACGGTGTAGTAGTGTGCTCTCAAGCGGCGGTCCCCGACATTTTTGGGACCAGGGACTTGTTTCATGGAAGACAATTTTTCCGCAGAGTGGGGTCGGGGTTGGGGATGGTTTGGGGATGATTAGACTACGTTGCGTTTATTGTGCATTTATTTCTGTTATTGCATTATAATGTATAATGAAATAATCCTATAATTCATCATAAGGTAGAGTCAGTGGGAGCCCTGAGCTTGTCTTCCTGATACTAGGCGGTCCCATCTGGGGGTGATGGGAGACAGGGACAGATCATCAGATCTTAGATTCTCATCAGGAATGCGCAGCCTAGATCCCTCGCATGCGCAGGTCACGATAGGAGTCACATTCCTGTGAGAATCTCATGCCACTGCTGATCTCAAGGAGGCAGAGCTCAGGTGGACTAGTACCATTCTGTGATCTGGGGGTCGAGGCCTCTGCTCTAAGACACAGATTGTGGCTATAAGATTAATGACAGATGGCCGTGCGCAGTGGCTCACACCTGTAATCCAGCACTTTGGGAGGTCGAGGTAGGTGGATCACAAGGTCAAGAGATTGAGACCATCCTGGCCAACATGGTGAAACCCCATCTCTACCAAAAATACAAAAAATTGTCTGAGAATGGTGGCACGTGCTTGTAGTCCCAGCTACTTGGGAGGCTGAGACAGGAGAATTGCTTGAACCTGGGAGGCAGAAGTTGCAGTGAGTTGAGATCACACCTCTGCACTCCAGCCTGGCGACAGAGCAAGACTGCATCTCAAAAAAAAAAAAAAAAAAAAAAATTTAATGACAGCCATAAGGCCCACTCTGACATCTCTTGGTGCCAATGCACTATGTATCACTTAGCAAGATGCTGTAACCTGGTCTAGGGATTTCCAACCCTGGTCTGGGTGTCCATGACAACAGGACCTAGAAAAACCTACTTGCCCTAGAGACAAGGCCTCCTCAGCACATATGCAACCTTCATGAACCTTAAAAGCAACCTCACCTTTACAAGAGTAGTTTAAACTCCCTTTGGGAAAAAAAACACCTGGTAACTGATGCAGGCTGAAGGGAGATCTCTCCCCTGGGGCAGGTGGCTCACTAGGACAGTCCAAGACCCCTGAATGAGGCAAGTATGTCTGCGACATTCACTCATGCATCGGGCAAAGTACTGGTGCCTTCTTTTCCATTGCCGGATAGTATTCTACTGTGGGAATCTGTTATGATGCAGGCATCCATCCTGTTGGTGGACACCTGCCTGGTCTTTGGCTACAGAAGACTGCTTCGATGATGGACATGTCTCATACACATGCACGTATTTCTGTTGGATAGGTGCGGATATGTATATATTTGTTTTTGGTAGATAATGCCAAGCAACTTTCCGAAGTTATGTGATGATTTCCACAAAGTTTTTTTTCTTTCTTTAGATGGAGTTTCATTCTTGTCGCCCAGGCTGGAGTGCAATGGTACAATCTCAGCTCACTGCCATCTCTTGTCTCCCAGGTTCAAGCGATTCACCTGCCTCAGCCTCCCGACTAGCTGGGATTACAGGCGTGTGCCACCAAGCCCAACTCATTTTTGTATTTTTAGTAGAGATGGTGTTTCGCCATGTTAATCAGGCTGGTCTCGAACTCCTGACCTCAAGTGATCCACTCGCTTTGGCTTCCCACAGTGCTGGGATTACAGGTGTGAGCCACCACACCCGGCTGTCAATTTCTGCTTTCCAAAAGCACTGTCTGGGCAGCCTCACAACCTCCTGAACTTGGGATGATCAGTTTGTAAGATTTTGGCCACTTAAGTGATTATATACTCATAATTCTTTGTGGTTTTAAAATGCTTTTACCTGATGATTAATACAATTGTACATCTTTTCATATGTATTGGCCATTTTGATATCCAATTTTATAAAGTATGTTGAAGCCATTTGCCTTCTTTTTATGAGGCTATTTGTCTTCTGTTAAGAAAATGGTCAGAGTTACTTTTCTATTTGGCCCCACACATTGCAGGCATACTGCTAATATTTCTTCTGTCTGTGGTTTGCCATTTTACTCCTCTAAGTTACCCTTTGGTGAAAGAAGCTCTTGCGTGATGCTTAGAAGTCCTTCGTTTAAGTGCAGGCTGTTTCATTCATCTTTACTCACTTTGTGGTTAGTATTTTGTCGTGTGCTCTTTAAGAAATCCTCCCCTTATCCTGCGGCCATGAAGATATTTTTCTATGTCAGCTTCTAGATTTAGCACTTTTCCATCCACATGTTGGCTGTGACCCATCTGGAATTGACGTTTGTGCATGGGGCAAGTTAAGCATCAAGGTTCAGGTTTTTCTACAGGATACATATTTTCCAAATGTCCCAACAGAATTTATTTTCTCGTGGCACTGCCATGGCGCCTTGCCAGGTATTTGACTAGCCGCGTGGCATCTGCCTCTGGACTCTCACTTCTGTTCCAGTGATCTGTCGCTCCTATGCTTGTTCCACAGTCCTTTGTGTTTGTTTGTTTTCATTTTTATCTTTTGGTGCATTCTTGACTGAAGGTCATCGTTTACATAGGAATCACACTTAGTGCTATACACTCTCTGGATTTTAGCAAGTGCATCATGTCATATATTACAGATCATACAGAATAGTGTCTCTGACTTTAAAAATCCCTTTTGCTCCACCTGTTCAGCCCTCCCCCCTCTGTGAACTCCTTGCGATCACTGATCAAAAGATAGATGTAATTTTTAGGATTAGATTATGGTGAATATGTATGGCATAGATGTAACCATTTTAACCATTTTTAATTGTAAAATTCAGTGACATTAGGCAGTGTCCATGTAAAGAGTCAATTTTTTTTTTTTTTTTTTTTTTTTTGAGACGGAGTTTTGCTCTTGTTACCCAGGCTGGAGTGCAATGGCGCGATCTCGGCTCACCGCAACCTCCACCTCCTGGGTTCAGGCAACTCTCCTGCCTCAGCCTCCCGAGTAGCTGGGATTACAGGCATGTGCCACCACGTCAGGCTAATTTTTGTATTTTTAGTAGAGACGGGGTTTCACCATGTTGACCAGGATGGTCTCGATCTCTTGACCTCGTGATCCACCCACCTCAGCCTCCCGAAGTGCTGGGATTACAGGCGTGAGCCACCGCACCCGGCTTGTAAAGAGTCAAACTCTAAAATATTTAAAGAGATTTATTTTGAGCCAAATGTGAGGTCTGTGACCTTTGGCACAGCCCTAAGAAGTTCTGAGCACATGCCCAAGGTTTACAGCTGGAGCGTTCACATTTCAGGCAGTCAGCAGGTACAGGCAGACATAAATCAGTAAATGTAAGCCGTCCATTGGTTCAGCCCAGAAAGGCGGGACTAGGGAAGCTTCCAGGTCACAGGCGGCTTCAAAGGTTTTCTGAATTGGTTGAAAGAGTTGAGTTGTATCTAAAGATGTGGAATCAACAAAAGGAATGTCTGGGTTAGCATAGGGGTTGTGAAGATCAAGGTTTTTCTTATGCAGATGAAGCTTCAGGGAGCAGGCTTCAGAGACAATAGGCTGTGTTTCTTATCAGACTTAAAAAGGTGCCAGACTTTTAGTTAATTCTCTCCTGGATCGGAGAAAAGACCTGGAAAGGGAAAGGGATTCTCTACAGAATGCAGATGTTCCCCACGAGAGACGGCTCTGCAGGGCCATTTCAAAATATGGCAAAGAAATACAGTTTGAGGTAACACACTTCCATTTCTCTCAGAGCCTGCTGTTTGCCACGTGATGCTGCTGTTTGCCACGTGATGCTGCTGTTTGCCACGTGATGCTGCTGTTTGCCACGTGATGCTGCTGTTTGCCACGTGATGCTGCTGTTTGTTTGCCACGTGATGCTGCTGTTTGTTTGCCACGTGATGATGATGCTGCACGAGCGGAAGATTGGAACTGGGTGTCCTATTGCTACAAAGAGTCTGTTTCTTCTTCAGATCTCCGTTTTTATGGCAGTGCTGCTCTGTTGTGCCTGAACTCCAAAGGGAGGAGGGTGTGATGACGTCAAGTATCAAAGGCAACAATATTGCACCCCTTTCCCATGATTCTTCCCTCAGGCTGGGCTGCCCACGTGCGCAGTGCCCTCCTCACCGTGGGAAGTGAGCGTGCACCGTGTTTGGGAAGTTGTACGCATGCGCATCTGTGGGAAGTTAGTTGTACGCATGCGCATCTGTGGGAAGTTAGTTGTACGCATGCGCATCTGTGGGAAGTTAGTTGTACGCATGCGCATCTGAGGCTTTGCGTTTCCTTTTCCAGTGGAGTGTCCCGAAAGGTCATACTCCGCCATTTTGTCTCTTCATGTGCACCCCTGGGAAGTTGTTTCTCCCTGGCACTTGTGTTCAATTAACGCTTCAGTGCAGTAGGTGTGGACATCAGGAAATGGCATCTCCCTGGCACCAGCTGCCAAGTTACCAGTTTTAGAGAGGGAATGTGATCATTGCTGAGCCATCACCTGACAGTCCCAGTGTATGGTGGAGAGCCCTCTCCTGCCCCCACTCATGCCTGCCTGACTACCTGTAACACTTTCCGCTCTATGAATTTGACTCTTCTAGGGGACCTCATGGGAGTGGAATCGTACAATCTTTGTTCTTTTGTGGCTGGCTTATTTCACTTAGCACAATGTCTTCCAGATTCAATAACCAACTTAGAGTGTGTGTCAGAATTTCTTCCTGTATTTCGACGGTTTGTTAGGCGTGTAAATGTTTACTAATGTATCTTCAGTGTGTGTCAGAATTTCTTCCTGTATTTCGGCGGTTTGTTAGGTGTGTAAATGTTTACTAATGTATCTTCAGTGTGTCAGAATTTCTTCCTGTATTTCGGTGTTTTGTTAGTAGGTGTGTAAATGTTTACTGATGTATCTTCAGTGTGTGTCAGAATTTCTTCCTGTATTTTGGTGGTTTGTTAGTAGGTGTGTAAATGTTTACTAATGTATCTTCTTCAGTGCGTGTCAGAATTTCTTCCTGTATTTCGACGGTTTGTTAGGTGTGTAAATGTTTACTAATGTATCTTCAGTGTGTGTCAGAATTTCTTCCTGTATTTCGGCGGTTTGTTAGGTGTGTAAATGTTTACTAATGTATCTTCAGTGTGTCAGAATTTCTTCCTGTATTTCGGTGTTTTGTTAGTAGGTGTGTAAATGTTTACTGATGTATCTTCAGTGTGTGTCAGAATTTCTTCCTGTATTTTGGTGGTTTGTTAGTAGGTGTGTAAATGTTTACTAATGTATCTTCTTCAGTGCGTGTCAGAATTTCTTCCTGTATTTCGACGGTTTGTTAGGTGTGTAAATGTTTACTAATGTATCTTCAGTGTGTGTCAGAATTTCTTCCTGTATTTCGGCGGTTTGTTAGGTGTGTAAATGTTTACTAATGTATCTTCAGTGTGTGTCAGAATTTCTTCCTGTATTTCGGTGTTTTGTTAGTAGGTGTGTAAATGTTTACTAATGTATCTTCTTCAGTGCGTGTCAGAATTTCTTCCTGTATTTCGACGGTTTGTTAGGTGTGTAAATGTTTACTAATGTATCTTCAGTGTGTGTCAGAATTTCTTCCTGTATTTCGGCGGTTTGTTAGGTGTGTAAATGTTTACTAATGTATCTTCAGTGTGTGTCAGAATTTCTTCCTGTATTTCGGTGTTTTGTTAGTAGGTGTGTAAATGTTTACTAATGTATCTTCTTCAGTGTGTGTCAGAATTTCTTCCTGTATTTCGAAGGTTTGTTAGTAGGTGTGTAAATGTTTACTAATGTATCTTCAGTGTGTGTCAGAATTTCTTCCTGTATTTCGGCGGTTTGTTAGTAGGTGTGTAAATGTTTACTAATGTATCTTTAGTGTGTGTCAGAATTTCTTCCTGTATTTTGGTGGTTTGTTAGTAGGTGTGTAAATGTTTACTAATGTATCTTCTTCAGTGTGTGTCAGAATTTCTTCCTGTATTTCGAAGGTTTGTTAGTAGGTGTGTAAATGTTTACTAATGTATCTTCAGTGTGTGTCAGAATTTCTTCCTGTATTTCGGCGGTTTGTTAGTAGGTGTGTAAATGTTTACTAATGTATCTTCAGTGTGTGTCAGAATTTCTTCCTGTATTTTGGTGGTTTGTTAGTAGGTGTGTAAATGTTTACTAATGTATCTTCTTCAGTGTGTGTCAGAATTTCTTCCTGTATTTCGACGGTTTGTTAGTAGGTGTGTAAATGTTTACTAATGTATCTTCTTCAGTGCGTGTCAGAATTTCTTCCTGTATTTCGACGGTTTGTTAGTAGGTGTGTAAATGTTTACTAATGTATCTCCTTCAGTGCATGTCAGAATTTCTTCCTGTATTTCGGTGTTTTGTTAGTAGGTGTGTAAATGTTTACTAATGTATCTTCTTCAGTGTGTGTCGGAATTTCTTCCTGTATTTCGACGGTTTGTTAGTAGGTGTGTAAATGTTTACTAATGTATCTTCAGTGTGTGTCAGAATTTCTTCCTGTATTTCGGCGGTTTGTTAGTAGGTGTGTAAATGTTTACTAATGTATCTTCTTCAGTGCGTGTCAGAATTTCTTCCTGTATTTCGACGGTTTGTTAGTAGGTGTGTAAATGTTTACTAATGTATCTCCTTCAGTGCGTGTCAGAATTTCTTCCTGTATTTCGGTGTTTTGTTAGTAGGTGTGTAAATGTTTACTAATGTATCTTTAGTGTGTGTCAGAATTTCTTCCTGTATTTTGGTGGTTTGTTAGTAGGTGTGTAAATGTTTACTAATGTATCTTCTTCAGTGTGTGTCAGAATTTCTTCCTGTATTTCGGTGTTTTGTTAGTAGGTGTGTAAATGTTTACTAATGTATCTTCTTCAGTGTGTGTCGGAATTTCTTCCTGTATTTCGACGGTTTGTTAGTAGGTGTGTAAATGTTTACTAATGTATCTTCAGTGTGTGTCAGAATTTCTTCCTGTATTTCGGCGGTTTGTTAGTAGGTGTGTAAATGTTTACTAATGTATCTCCTTCAGTGTGTGTCAGAATTTCTTCCTGTATTTCAATGGTTTGTTAGTAGGTGTGTACATGTTTACTAATGGATCTTCTTGCTGTATTGAGCCTTCGTGTCTTGTAACCTCTTTTCAATCGAAGTCTGTTTTGTTTGATGTTAGTATAGCTGTCTTATTCTCTCTTGATTACGATGCGCATAGACTATCTTTTTACATACTTTCGCTTTCAAGCTGTTTGTGTTTTGGGATGTAACGAAAGTCTCTTATGAACAGTATATAGTTGGATCATGTTTGTTGATTTATCCATTCTGCTTATCTCTTTTGATTGGAAAGTCTGATCTATTTTCATGTAGAGTAATTCTGGTAAGAAGGAAGTTACTCTTGTCATTTTGCTTTTTTTTTTTCTGTGTACCTTATAAATTTTCCAGTATTATTTCTTTTGTGTTTACTTGATCTTTTTTTGTAGTAAAACATCTGGATTCCTTTCTCATTTCCTCTGATGTATATTCTGTAGCTTTTTGTTGTGGTTATCACTGAGATTACTTAACTCCTAAAATTATAATAATCTAATTTGAATTTATACCAATTTAATGTCAATAAGAGTGTCTGATCCTATACGTCTGTCTTTTACCATTTCAGTTACTGATGTCACATAATTACATGTTTAGACCTTGTGTGTCCAAAGACGTAGACTAACAATTTTTAATGTATTATTCTCTTAAACCATGTAGAGTGCAAAAAATGGAGTTACAAACCAAACTTACAATAAAACTAGCTTTTATGACTGTCCATGTATTTACCTTTACTGAGATAATTACTTCTTTACACAGCTTCAAGTTACTGTCCAGGGTCCTTTCTTTTCACCTGGCAGTTGATCAGCAGTTCTTACAGGGCAGATCTAGTCATGAACTTTCTCCATTATCTGGGACTGCCTTAATTTCTCTTTCATTTTGGAGGACAGTTTTTCCCATATATTTTCGTATTTTTAGTAGAGATTTGGTTTCACCATGTTGGCCAGGCTGGTCTCGAACCCCTGACCTCATGATCTGCCCACCTCAGCCTCCCAAAGTTCTGGAACGACAAGCTTGAGCCACTGCGCCCGGGCTGTTTCCAGCCTTAAAGGAGACATATCTCAAGTCCATCCTCTGAGTATGATGTTTGTCAAAGACCATAAGCACAGTTACTTGTCAGGTAAGGAACACTCTCCTGTATTTACCGTGTTCTGCAAATACATAATTTTATTTAAAAACATGTTGGATATTTATGAGTGCATTTTTTTTTTTTTTGCTTCTACTGACCTAGTTAATATTTTTTCTTTTTTCACCTTATTATCTTAAAGTGGTGAATTAAAGTCATAGGTTTTCTGATGTTAAAACTGTTTTCATTCCTTTGATGAACTCTGTTGATACTGATGCATTATTTTTTTAACACAACATTAAAGTCAATTAGTAAAAATATGTAAGTAAGAATATTCATAAGTGGAAAGAGCCTATACTTTGCATTTAGAAGTGTGGTTTTTTTTTTTTAAACCAGCTTTGGAATCAAGCAAACAATTTTATAATGATCAGAAACCCTCCGTGTCTCCCTCTCTTTCTTGTTGTTGGGAACAAGTTGCTATTTGTGTGACATATAAATTCTTTCCTGTTTAAAAGTTTGCTGTAACCTTTCTGTGGAACGTTCTAGGCCTGATGTTGTTGTTGTTGTTTTTCCTCTTGGGGGAGGTTTTAATGACCGTTATGAATTTTACATGAAAATCTATTTATCCTTACTCCAGTTTGGAATATTATCCTTTTCCAAAGATTTATCCATGTTGCCTATGTTTCAAATTTATGTCCTTATAAAAAAGATTTTCCGTTGTTTGTGCAGTTCCCTCCTCTTTGAGACTGTTTAGTGATTTGCATCTTCCCTTTACTGTACTGACCAGAGTTGCCAGACCTTTATGTATCTTTCATTAATATTTTCAAGCAATAGCTTCCGTTCTGTTAATCTTCCCTGTTTCATTGACCTATGTCCTTATCTGTCCTAGTGTCTTCCTCCTCCTCCCCATTGGGCTGCTTCTGTTTCTCGTTTGTTTTCTGCTTGAATCGAACACTTGGCTCATTTTTCTTACTGTCTGATAAATATGTTTAAACAGACACAGCCATCACTGTAGCGCGGCTCCATTACTGTGTGTCCTCTTATGTTGTACTGTGCATCTGCAAGTCTTTTCATCAGGACGGCATTTTCCTTCTTGAACATATGGTATTTTATTTACTTTTAATACCTTTCATTATTGGTTTCTGGTTTCCCTGCTTTGGGCTCAGGGAACGTACTAAGCCGGGTGGATCTTTTGGGCTGATGGTAGCTTGCAGCCTCGTCCCTGGTCCGTGGCTGTGAATCCTCCCCTCCACATCCGCATATATTTTGCTCTGGGATTTTTATTAATCGTGTCAATCAAAGTTTATATGTGTTTATACTTTTTTGTTTGGGTTATTTTTGTGTCCCTCTAATCTACCAGTTTCTGATAGGGCTTTGTTAAGACCTTGGGTAATAGATTTCGCTATCTCATTTCTGCCATAATGCTGTCAGTTGGCATTTTCTATGTCGCGATGGGTATCTTAAGGGCATGTGTGTTCATAACGACGGTCCCTTCCTGACTTAGCACGCCGTTTTGTCGCTGTGTAACACTGCTTTTTGGCATCATGTTTTTTACCTTAAAACCCATTTAGCCCAATACTAAGAAACCTTACCTTGTATTTGAAAAAAAATTCTTATTGAAACAGCCTTTGGAAACTGCCCACATACCTTCCTTTTAGTTATTTCATGTATTAGTTTATGTAAGTCTTCATATCCATTTTTATTTCTCATCAAAAATCAACGTATTAGGATTCTGAATTTAACTCTTGGACTAGAGATTCTGCCGTTTGTGCACCGAGAATGAGTTTGCAGAGATGCAGGTCTACATGGACAATGAGGACCCAGCTTTGCCGCACCACACTGGAAGAGCCCCGGTCTTCCCTCGGCGCTGTGAGGCTGATCTGATTTGCAAGCTGCCTGCCTCCCTCTCTCTCTCTTTCCATTTTCCTTCTTTTCTTCTTTGATTGCTAGTTTTTTTCTCCTCCGAATTGTAATACAGACATACAGCAAATGGCACAAGCACTGTACAGGTTTATAAGTAAGGAAAGGGAGACTCCCCTGTAAGTGCTCATGACCGCAGCACCAGGCGGTGAGATGGACTAGTGCCAGCAACCTCGGAGGCCCTCTGTGCCCCGGCCACCTACCATCACTTCTCTCTCACTCCCCTCTAGGTAACGGCTATTGTGTCACCTCCACTAGACTCATCTCCTTGCCGTCCTTTACGGTTTTAGCACTGGGCGTGCAGTTCTGCCTCTGCCATTTCATGCAGTGAAATCATAGGTGAGTCTCCTGTGGGTGGAATCGTACCTGTCTTTTTTCACTCAAACTTATGTTTTGGGGTTTCATCCATATTTTTTTGAATTATAAACTTGTCGTATTTGATTAGTGGCCATGGAATTCAAAGGCTTGCTGCCTAGAGACTGGGACCATTTTATTACTTTTAAAAAATTATACTTTAAGCTCTGGGGTACATGTGCAGAACGTGCATGTTTGTTACATAGGTGTACACGTGCCATGGTGCTTTGCTGCATCCACCCCCCTGTCATCTACATTAGGCATTTCTCCTAATGCTCTCCTCTCCCTATCCCCCACTGCCTGCTCTCCCTCCCCTAGACCCACACCTCCCAACAGGCCCCAGTGTGCTATGTTCCCCTCCCTGTGTCCATGTGTTCTCATCGTTCAACACCCACTTATGAGTGACAACATGCAGTGTCTGGTTTTCTGTTCTTGTGTCAGTTTGCTGAGAATGATGGTTTCCAGCTTCATCCATGTCCCTGCAAAGGACAGGAACTCATCCTTTTTTACGGCTGCATAGTATTCCATGGTGTATATGTGCCACATTGTCTTTATCCCATCTATCATTGATGGGCATTTGGTTCCAAGCCTTTGCTATTGTGAACAGTGCCACAGTAAACATATGTGTGCAGGTGTCCTTGTAACAGAATGATTTCTAATCCTTTGGGTGTATACCCAGTAACGGGATTGCTGGGTCACATGGCATTTCTATTTCTAGATCCTTGAGGAACCGCCACACTGTCTTGTATGATGGTTGAACGAATTCACACTTCTCTGTCTCTCATCCGTATTTTTGGATGCGCTTGTACTGTACTCACTTCTTGCACAGTCTAACCGTTTGTTGTATGGCTGTACCACCATGTAACTTTCCCCTGTTCAGTCAGTGGACCCTGAGGCTGGCTTCCAGTTTGGGACCATGATAGGCCAGGTTGCTAGGAAGGGTTTCACGCCTGTGTCTGAGCGGATGTGCCAGAGCGTTTGCCTGGAGTTTGTACTTAGTCCTGAATTGCTGCGTAGGAGCTGTGTACCTGCAGCTTGACTAGATGATAGCGACTGTGTCCCAAAGTTGACAGACATTCCAATTAGATCTCCCACCGCCAGGGTTCGCGAGCTGTGACTGTCCCACAACCACCCGATCTTCCTATTTCCAGTCGTTGACTGCAGCGTTAGTCAGTTACACATACGTTGCTTTCCTCCTCAGTTCAGTGGGCATGCACGGACGTGGCTTTGTTCTGCCTTCCTCCGATTAGTTTGTCAGTCACTTTTGTCCTCTAAGTATCTGTGCCTATATTTTGTCCACCTTTTTGGGTTGCTTGTCTTTTTATTGATTTGTGTGAGTTAAAAGAAATGCTTGGCGGGGTACAGCGCAATCCCAGCACTTTGGAAGGCCAAGGAGGGAGGATCATCTGAGTCCAGGAATTCAAGACCAGCCTGGGCAACATAGTGAGACCCCATCTCTATTAAAAATAAACAAAATTAGCCAGGCATGATGGTGTGCACCTTTAGTCCCAGCTACTCAGGACGCTGATGTGGGAGGATTGCTTGAACCTGGGAGGTTGAGGCTGCAGGGGGCTGTGATTGTGCCACTGTACTCTAGCTTGGCAGACAGAGCAAGACCCTGTGTCAAAAACAAACAAAAAATGAAAACAAACAACCCCACATATGTATGCTCTGGAGATGAACTCTGTTTTCTGTTGATAAGTGCTGGAGCCGGGCGCGGTGGCTCACGCCTGTCATCCCTGCACTTTGGGAGGCCGAGGAGGGCTGATCACAAGGTCAAAAGATCGAGACCATCCTGGCCAACCTGGTGAAACCCCGTCTCTACTAAAAATACAAAAATTAGCTGGGCGTGGTGACATGCACCCGTAGTCCTAGCTGCTAGGTAGGCTGAGGCAGGAGAATTGCTTGAATCTGGGAGGCGGAGGTTGCGGTGAGCCGAGATCGCGCCCCTCCACTCCAGCCTGGCAATAGTGCAAGACCCTGTCTCAAAAACCAAACGGAAGTGCTTCAAATAACCTCCCCTGCTGGCTCGGTGTCCTGCTTCTCACTCCTACCTAATGTCTTTTGATGACCAGAAGCTCCTAATTTCAGTGCAGTCAAATCCGTCGATTTGTTTTACGCCTGAGAAAATCTTATCTTAGCCCAGTATTAAATCATGTATTAGCTTGATGTAACAGTCTGCGCATAATTCTTCTCTTAACATTTAAAAATGATCATTACACCGTTGCCTGACTTCCGTAGTTGACAAGGGCGATACCAACTTGATTCTTATTTATATTTATTGCCTTTTTTCCTGATAACTGTTAGAATTTTTTCTCTCGATGTTTAAAAATTTATTTTACGTTTGTCTGCTTTTACCTTTTTTCTTTTCTGTTTTTTTTTTTTTAGGCCTCTTTGAGTCTTTTCAAATCAAGGTCTTGCATTTTCTTTATTTCTTGCTAACTCTTGGTCAGTTTTTAAAGCGTCCTGTCATCTCTGATCATTCCTCTGCCCTGCCAGGTCTTCCGTTGCACACACTTGCATCTCCGTCCTGTCCTCCGTCTCCCTCCTTGCGTCTTCTGTCTCTCCGTTCCTCCCTCCCACTTCCTGGCTCCGGCCCCTGACTTGCTCTTCCACACACTGATGTGTCCTCAGCTGTATCCATTCTGTTACTCACCCATTCAGTTTTAAACACCGACCATTATATCTTTCGACTTTGTCATTTACGACCGAGTCTTCTCCATGACTTACGTCAGCTCTGTGTCTTCATCTTCTCTTTCCTCTTTTATAATCTCTCTCATTTCTAGGATGTAGTTGTGTTGAAAAAATATTGATGATAGCCCCTAAATGGCATGATTTTGCATCGTGAGGACATTAGGCCCTGTGGCCAGGGATGCATCCCCGGGGATGTGGTGGCTGCTCTGCCTGGCTTTTGGCTTTCTTCCCGGGTCACGCGTGGAGGAGAGATGCCTCAGGAAGGAGCTTCAGTGCCAGTCTATGTATCTCGCCCTTGCACTGCCTTTTTTTTTTTTTTTTTTTTGAGACAGATTTTTGCTCTGTCATCCAGGCTGGAGTGCAGTGGCATGATCTCGGCTCACTGCAACCTCCGCCTCCTGGGTTCAAGCGATTCTCCTGCCTCAGCCTCCTGAGTAGCTGGGATTACAGGCATGCGCCACCACAGCCAGCTAGTTTTTGTATTTTTAATAGAGATGGGGTTTCACCATGTTAGTCAGGAGGGTCTCGAACTTTTGACCTTGTGATCCATCTGCCTCAGCCTCCCAAAGTGCTGGCATTACAGGTGTGAGCCACTGCGCCTGGCCTGTACTGCTTTTTAAAAAAGTTTTTCATCTTACTGTTAGCGTGGATCATGGAATCCTCCAGGTCTGAGGGTAGTGGGGTGGGGAGAGGGACCCTGGGGTTGGCAGGTCCATCAGATCTGGGGTTCACTTCTGGGGTCTCCATGGGGCCTCCAGTGACTAGCACTTTCCTTCTGTTGGCCTGTGGCTGCCAGGCTGAGACAGGGTGAACTATCTAATATCTAAGCCTGGCAGCCACAGGCCAACAAAAGGAAAGTGTGAGAAAGGGTGAACACGGAAACCAAAATGTCGCCTTCATGTTAGAGGCTTATTTAGAGGGCTGGAGCTCTAAAGGGACCTGCAGGCTGAACCCTTCTCCCCTGCAGCCTCCATGGGCCAGCCCCATCCCAGGGAGGAAGGGCATAGCTGAGCCCCTGAGTGGAGGGTGGGAGAGGCTGAGAGTGAGGGAACTGGGGCGGGGAATGCAGTCAGCCCTTCAGTGTGCTCCTACTCTTCTGCACGTCTGGTTGAAAGCAGCCCCGTGTCACCGAGACGCAGCCTCCGCTGGGATGATAGCAGCTGCATTTCTCTCTCATAGGCCTATGCTTGGCAGGAAGGAAGAAGAAGAAACGGCGCTCCCCTCTCTGCCTGCTCACCTCCCTGAAAACCCTCATTTCCCTCTCCTGTGGCCAGCTGCATTTTCAACCCTAGGAAGCAGACGCCTTTTGCGATGTCCGGGCCCCTTAGATCCCGTGTGTGGTTGCCGGGCACAGCCCCCACCTCTCTCTGGCTGCTAAGGGGCTTACAGGGCTTGGCTCAGGGAAGGTTGTCCACAGGTCTGGGCCGCTTTGCCTTTTGTTGGAAACCAGAAGCTTCTGTGTTCCTCTCATCGCTGGAGCTGGATTTTCCCAGCTGCGTGCACAGTCCTGGCCTGGGCTGTGTCTTCTTGGGGAGGTTCCATTTGCTGCCTCTAGGGTGGAGCAGTAGTCAGTGTTCCTGGAACAGTCCTGGAAGTCAGCAGGCCGGAGGTGAATGAAAGGTGGGGACATGAGCTCGGGGCTGGGGCACGCTGCTTGGGTGGGAAGGGGTGTCCCTTACATCAGGGGCATGGACTGTCTAGAGAGACACCATTTCTCGGCCGGGCGAGGTGGCTCACACCTCTAATTTCAGCACTTTAGGAGGCTGAGGTGGGTGGATCACAAGGTCAGACATTTGAGATCAGCCTGGCCAACATAGTGAAACCCTGTCTCTACTGAAAATACACCCCCACACGCACGCACACACGTGCACGCACACACATGCACACACACGCGCACACGTGCACGCACACGCGCATACACGCACACACACGCACGCACGCACACACAAATTAGCTGGGCATGGTGGCGCACACCTGTGATCTCAACTACTCAGAAGGTTGTGGCAGGAGCACTGCTTGACCCTGGGAAGCAGAGATTGCAGTTGTGCCACTCCACTCCAGCCCAGGTGACAGTGCGAGACTCCATCTTAAAAAAAAAAAGTGAGACAGCATGAGACACCATTTCTCCTTCAACTCCAGGTGGCCTTTCGAATCCTGCTGGTGTGCAGAGGCCTGGACTCTGTCCCCATCCACCAAGGACTTCCGTGACTGCTGCCTTGGGACTGGCATCGCAGTCTCACCGAGGGGACGTGCTTTCCTTGGTTTCTTAGACTAATCCTGAGTCTAAGAATGTGAGGTTTGCCACAGGCAATGTCACTGTCCTAACCAGCAACAGTTGTCCCTTTAAGTGGCCCACCCATTGGCTCTTGTTCCTCCTGAAGCCCGGACACTGAGGAGTGAAAAGACCTCAGAACTCGGTGGACTAAGAGCCCTCAGTACCATGTGCTCCGATGTCCACCAACATCAGTCATGTGGAAAATCTGGAGTAATTCGGAAATGCTTCCGAACTAGAGCAAATGTTCCCATAAAATCTCAGGTACGTTATTTCCCGGAGAAGTGCCTGTTTCACTGACTAGGTCTTGTGTGTAAAATGCAGTATTCTGAGTTACCAGGTGTTACTATTGAAATTGTTGTGAGTCGGATGGCGGGATGGAAGTTTTGGAAGCTGAATTCTGAAAGCAGTTTTCATCTTTCTTTGAGCCTTGGTTTCCTCGTCTGTAAAAGGCATAACAGCCTTGAAAACTGAACTAACAGGGTGTAATGAAAGGACAGCAGCTTTTCTTACCGCGTTGCACGGACGTTAGTTTCCCAAAGAAGCTTAATTTTAATTTAATTTGAGGAAGACACAAAAATGTGCAAAGACGCTACAGATATTTTCGCCAGTCAGTTTCAGTGTCTCTATCATGTGCATCAATATGGCTCAAAGGAAGCATGGGGAATGTTCTCCAGGCTGGGGCTTCCGGCTGGAGCCGGCTTTCCTGGGAGGAGCCCCTGGAGCCTGTGCCAGGCAGGTCTCAGGAGCCCAGAGTTCTTTGGGGGTGAGACAAGGAGAACCAGGCCTTGAGAAAGGTGACGGCTTAGTGTCCGGGCCTTGGGGAGCCAGGAGCCCTCTGCAGCAGGACCAGGGTGTGGGGCTCGGGGCCAAGTACAACCACAGGAAGAAGCTGGGTCTCCACCAGGCCAGCGGGCATGAGGTCACAGGTCCAGTCACCCACCCACGTTTGCACCTTGGCGCAAGGTCCCCGACCAGTGTGCGGTGATCAGGGGCCTCCTTGGGTGAGGAATGGGGTGGGAAGAGAACTGAGGGTGAAGAAGTCACCAGAGGTGTCGACATGGAGGCTGGGAACGGGCTCCGTTGGTCTTCCCAGCGTGGGTGTGGCTGGCGGGGACTGCAGGGGTGGCACAGGCGTTAGATATCGTGAACCCCAGGTTTCTCTGCAAAGAATCAGTGTGTCAGTATGTTCAGCTCTTTTTCTTTAGTTCTCTATTTTTAAATGTCCTCGTAATTCCAGTGAGTAGCCTTCTCCACCAGTTCTAATCAGTAGTTCATATATGTTCCCCAGCCCCCGGCTCCATCCTGACTCATCCCAGTCACCTGCTCTAATCACCTGCCCTGGTCACCTGCTTTGACCTAGGTCACCCCGGCTACCCGCTCTGACCCGCCTGTAACCGTCCTTCCCGCCAAAACACCCACCCTGCCCCTTCAGCTTGGACCCCTGCTCTCATTAAAATAGCGAATCGGGATTAGTCTAGCTTGTGCGGCCTAACCCTAGCCAACAGAGGAACGACACAGCAGCAGGGACGACCCCATCAGGCGTCAGTCCCCCTTTTCTCCCTCGTCCTACTATGCGCTCGCCATTGCTCCATCTGTGAGCTGCACCGTCTATAGAGGTAGATTGACTTGCTGAGGACATTTATATTCCAGTGCTGCTGCTTCTGTGGCATCAGAAATTCTGCCTGTATCACAGGGGTGGGACGAAGGCAGGTGTGCTGGTGGAGCAGGCCCTGCCTCTGGGGACCAGGAGGGAACGTGCGATTGGGGTGTGTGGAGGTGAGCATGCTGTGTGGGGGCAGGGAGAGGCAGGGTGGAGCCTTGGTTTCAGACTCACTGACCGTCAGGACTCCCAGCCAGGCTGGACCACAGGGTCCGTAAGCGGCGCTGACTCGTGTGGATGTGCTCGGAGGCTTCTGGGCAGGTGCAGCCACGGTGACAGCCGGCCTCAGGGCCCTTCCTCTGCGGGAGACACGGCTGCCCGGTGCAGGCCCTGGCTGTTGGAGGTCAGGGTTTATGGGTGATGAGTGCCCAGCCCAGTCAGGGTCAGTGGGGAGAAATCCAAAGCCAGCCTGGGGTGCAGGCACCAGACCGGTGTGGAACTCTGGGGAATGGCTTCCAGATAAGCCACCAGAGCTGCACCTCCTGTCCTGGGTCCGTCATCTTCTGCACTCCAGCCCAGGGGAATCTTCCAGGGTCCCTTCTTCCTGCAGCCTGAGCGTGCCCATCTGCAGAAGGAGGGAGGAGGAGCTGTCCTGCATCTTGGATAATGGAGCCCCCAGGGTCTTCGTCCTTCGGAAAGGCACGTGCTCTCCCAGGTCAGAGTCTTACAGTCCTGCAAGCCTTTGTCCACCTCCTCCCTGGGTCACTGTGGCTTTCTGCAGGCCCCGGAGCAGTGAGGAGCAGGAAGGTGGTGCTGCCGCCTGTGTGAAAAGCCCCTGGTGCACAAATGCCTCTCACTCTTCTCACAGAAATCTCCTTCAGGTAAACACTGGGCCCCTCATTTTGCCTTATCTGCCCCACCCCTACCCCCACAGGCACGTACATCAGCCCTGTTAATCACTGCACTTCTACTTAAAACAGCCCAAGGCTTCCCATGTCTAGAAAACAGAATCTCCACTCTGGCCCTCTGCTCTCTGATGACCTCTTCAAGCTGAATCTCCTCCCAGCCTCCTGCTCTGTGCTCCAGAACCCCGAGCTGCATGCAAGTACCCCTGTACACTATGTCCTTATGTACGTCTGTGTCTTTGTTCATGCTGTTCTCTCAGCTGGCACTTCCTCTCTGGCTGTGCACACTTGGCAAACTCCTATTCATACCACAAAACCCAGCTGCAACACTCCCTCCTCGAGAGTCTTCTTGGACCCAGAGAGGCAGAATTCATAGCTCCCTGCCCTGGGTCCCTGGAGAAAGCTTTGCTTCCCCTGTTACCCTCTGGATTGTCACCTATCCCCCTCTGAGTGGGTGGGCAGAAGCCTTTCCTGAGGAGCAGGCTGGCCGTCCTCGGGTCCTGGGGGCTTGACATACCCGTGCAGTGCCTGGCTGGAGAGGAGGCACAGCCTGCACAGCGTCTGTTCTGGACTGAACCCCGGATCCATCAGCTAGGTCTGGGCAGGTGTTGGGGGCTTGGAAGGACGCTTCACTCTTAGATTGAAGCTGACATTTATTTTTCTCCCACATACTCCCCAGTCTTGACTTTGCAGAGAGTTAAAGCAAATAGTAATGTGGGAAGGATTTGTTACATATTTATTTATTTCCCTTTAAATCTCTACGGCCGCAAAGAAGGTGTTTATTTTAAAATTTAAATTGTAGCTAGCAGAGTGTTGCGGTGACTCACTCAGTCGCCTCCTCTCCCGCCCCTCTTAGCTCCCTGCTGCGGCTTCCCACTCCAGTGCTCCATCCCAGTGGCGATTGTCTCCACCAGGTGACTGACAGATGGCCTGGCTGTTTCGGATGCCTCTGTCACATCACTGATGTTGAGAAATTAAAAAAAAAAAAATGACAAAAACTTCCCCAAACACAAACAATGAAAAGGAACTCCTTTCTCATCTCCTGTCTGGTGTGGGTGGTGTGCTGTCTACACAAGGCCTTGTTATAAATCTGCACCCCGCCCCTCCTGCAGTCCACTGTCTGGTGTGGGTGGTGTGCTGTCTACACAAGGCCTTGTTATAAATCTGCACCCCGCCCCTCCTGCAGTCCACTGTCCCTGCGGTAGAGAAATCCCAGATCCGGGGATTCTGGACTCAGGCCCTTGGTCTCACGGCCAGGCAGTGGCCGCGGCTCTTCCCACTAAGCTGCCGGGAAGGAGCTCCAGGGACTCTTGCAAAATATCTAGTATTGGTTCTCCTTGTACCCCTAATTTCCCTCCTTCCAGCCCATATAATTACCCAATGTAATTGTGCACACCTGGCAAACTCCTACTTATACTACAACACCCAACTTCAACACTCCCTCCTCAGGAGTCTTCTTGGACTCAAACCATCTGAAAGGCAAGCCTGGTGGAGTCCACCTGCTGGACAGCCTGAAGCAGCTCCTTTTGCTTTTGGTGGGTAGCTCAGACTTCCTGACAAGGTCCACGTGACCCCTCCTGGCCTGATTCCTGCCCCTGCTCTCCCTGCCCAGTCTCCTCCCTGCCACCCTGTCCCTGCCCCTCCAGGTGGAACTATTTGGTGCATCTCTAATCGTCTGTGGTGATGGAATATTTTTCCTTCCATCACAGATGCTATTTTGAAAATTACAGCAAAGAGAAGTCACCCAAACACTGAAAGCAAACAGCATACAGAATACAGACTCCACTCTTTTTTGGAGACAGTCTCACTCTATCCCCTAGGCTGGAGTGCAGTGGTGCGATCTCGGCTCACTGCAACCTTTGCCTGCTGGGTTCAAGCGATTCTCCTGCCTCAGCCTCCCGAGTAGCTGAGATTACAGGTGCCCACCACCACGCCTGGCTAATTTTTGGATTTTTAGTAGAGACAGGGTTTCATTATATTGGCCAGGCTGGTCTCAAACTCCTGACCTTGTGATCCGCCCGCCTCAGGCTTCCAAAGTGCTGAGATTACAGGCATGAGCCACTGCACCCAGCCCAGACTCCACTTTTTATGATTAATTTCAACAGCATAAAATTACTGTCAATTTCCTATAAACATTTCTAAACATGCTCAATTTTTGTTTTCATCTCGAGGGCTGCAACAAAGGCTGGGGATTGGCATAGGTCCGAAGACCACAGTGGGAGAAGCCCTGAACGAGAGTTCCTGGAGGAGCCTGTGCTCTCTTGCCCCAGGGTTGCTCATGCCATCGCCTCTGCCAGGGACCGCATCCACCCACTGTGGGCACCGAACTCTCACTCCCATTCCAGAGTCAGTTTGGGAGCCTTCTGTCCTCCAAACATCTTCCTGGACCTTGTCCAAGTCGGGTGCCTTCCTCCCTGCCCATTTCACCATTGCTGGCCTCTGCCCAGTGCCTTATCCTGCCTGTGGGATAGTGTAGGAGCTCAGCAGTGCGTGTCTTGAGCGACTGGACCTGTAGTAAACGCAGGAACGTGGAGATGGTGCTTTACACCAGTGCTTCTCTAAGTGCAGACGACGGACCTTTATGTGAATCCGACCACTTTGGGTTCAAAACTCACTTGCCAGCGAATTCTTTCATAGTGCGGTCTAGGGAAGAACACACCCCACTCCACAGAATCTAGAGATGATTTACAGACCTGTGGTGTGGTTCACTTGCAGGCCAGGAACTGATATTTTGCTTTCTGTGTCCGTTTGTGGACTCTAATGAGATGTCCCTCAGGTAGGTATGGTGGCCTCGAAACAGTTTTACCACTGAAATCCATATGCTGACAACGGTAAGGTAGAGGCATGGGAGATGGGAAAAGGTGTAGATGAAACATCCAGAGATGAGCCCTGGTGTGGTGATTCACGCCTGTAATCCTAGCACTTTGGGAGTCTGAGGCGGGCAGATCACAAGGTCAGGAGATTGAGACCAGCCTGGCCAACATGGAGAAATGCTGTCTCTACTAAAAATACAAAAAAATAGCTGGGCGTGGTGGTGGGCGCCTACAATCCCAGCTACTTGGGAGGCTAAGGCAGGAGAATTACTTGAACCTGGAAGGTGGAGTTTGCAGTGAGCTAAGATTGTGCCATTGCACTCCAGCCCAGGCAACAGTGCAAGACTCCCTCTCAAAAAAACAAAGAAAAGAAACATCCAGAGATGAGAAGTGTAATGTGGGAGACAAGCAGCACCCAGCATGGGCTGAACAGCGGAGCAGACACTGCAGAAGTATTAGTCGTCTCGAGGCAGAGCTATCGCAGCTACCCAGAATGAAACGTGGAGAACAAAAGGTAATCTTGGGACACTTGATTGTTGAGAGGTGTTTGCTTTCTATAGAGATGCCATTTTGTTTATCCATCCAATGGGTGATGGACATTTGGGTTGTTTCCAGCTGTGGCAATTACAAATAGAGCAGCTGTCAGGATTCTAGCACACATCCCTGTGTAGACATATGTTCGCATTTCTCTTGAGTGGATGTCGAGGTGTGGAATTGCTGGGTTTGTGGCAAGCTTGTGTTTAACTTTTTAGGAAGTTGCCAGAATTATTTCCAAAGGGGTTGTACCTTCTTACACTCCCACAGGTTACCCATGAGGGTTCCAATTTCTGCCTCCTCACCACCACCTGCTATTGCCGACCTCGTTGATTGAAGCCATTCTAGTAGGTGTGAAGTGGTAGCTGCTTGGGCTTTTCAGGTGCATGGTTAAAATGCCTAGTGATGTTGAGCATCTTGTCATGTGCCTAAAACCATGTGCACATCTGCACGGGTGAAGAGTCTACTTGAATGTTTCCTTTTTTTTTTTTTTTAATTGGGTTGTTTTCCTTCTTATTGTTAATTTGTGAAATTTTTATAGAGTCTGCGTGCACGTCCATCATCAGATGTATGATTGACATGTATTTCTCCAGCCTTTGCTTGGTCTTTTCATTTTCTTCATGATTTCTTTTGAAGAGCAAATGTTTTTATCTTTGAAGGAGTTCAGTTTATCAGATTCTTTTTTATGGGTCATGCTTTTGATGTCATATTTAAGAATTCTTGGTCTCACCAAAGTCACAAAGATTTTCTCCTCTTTGCTTCTAGAAGTTCTAAAATTATAATTATTACATTGAGGTCTTCGATACCCTTTGAATGAATTTTTTTGCATATGGTGTGAGGTAAAGCTCTAAGTCCTCCTCCTCCTCCACCACCTCTGTTTCTCTTCCTCCTCCTCCTCCTCCTCCTCCTCCTCCTCCTCTCCTCCTCCTCGTTCTCCTCCTCCTCCTCCTCGTCCTCCTCCTCGTCGTGGTCATCCTCCTCCTCGTCGTCCTCCTCCTCCTCGTCCTCCTCCTCCTCCTCCTCGTTGTCTTCGTCCTCCTCCTCCTCCTCGTCCTCCTCCTCCTCCTCATTGTCCTCCTCCTCCTCCTCCTCCTCGTCCTCCTCCTCATCATCCTCCTCCTCCTCATCATCCTCCTCCTCCTCCTCTTCCTCGTCCTCCTCCTCTTCCTCGTCCTCCTCCTCCTCGTCCTCCTCCTCCTCCTCGTCCTCCTCCTCCTCGTCCTCCTCCTTCTCCTCCTCCTCCTCCTTCTCCTCCTCCTCCTCGTCCTCCTCCTCGTCCTCCTCCTCCTTCTCCTCCTCCTCGTCCTCCTCCTCCTCCTTCTCCTCCTCCTCCTCCTCGTCCTCCTCCTCCTCCTTCTCCTCCTCCTCCTCCTCCTCCTCCTCCTCCTCCTCCTCCTCCTCCCCCTCCTCCCTATGGATATTCAATTGTTTCAGCACCATCTGTTGGAAAAAAAAGTCTTCTTTTTCCATTTAATTGTCTTGGCAGCTTTGTTGAATGAATGATAAATGTTAAGGACTCTTAATTCTGTTCCATGGATCTGTATGTCTGTCCTCATGCCAATGTCACATTTCCTTGATTACTGCTGCTTTAAGGGAAGTTTAGAAATCGGAAAGAGCAGGATCTCCAACTGTGTACTGCTCGTTCATAATTACTTGTGCTGTTCTATGACCTGTGTGTTTAAATACACATATTAAGATGAATACATCACAATATAAATAAAACCCTGCTGGCATTTTGTTTGGGCTTATGTCGGATCTATGAATCAATTTAGGGGCGAATCATCATCTTAACCATGTTGAGTCTTTTAATCCATAAACATGGATGTCTTTATTTGTACAGATCCCTAATTTATCTCCAGAGTACGTTCTAATTTTCAGTCTACAAGCCTAGCACTTTTCAATTAAATGTATTCCTAAGTATTTTATTCTCGCTGATGCTATTTTTGAGTGGAATTAGTGTTTTTAAGCTTCGTTTTTAGTTAGCTCGTTACTCACGTAGAAATACAATTGGCTTTTGTATCTGAAGTTGTATCGTATGACCTTGCTGAGTCTGTTGGCTTGCTCTGTGTGTCTCCGATGTTCCTTAGGTTTTTCTACGCATAGATCATGTTATCTCCAAATAGAATACATAAAAACTTGGCAGAACTAACAGGAGAAACAGACTCAAAAACATATGTGGCTATGTTCACACCCATTGTTTGGTGACATAGAACAAGTAGACACAAAATCTTTAAGGATGCAGAAGATGAAAACGAATCTCTCAACAAACCTGATGTGGCTGACATTTGTAAGACACCGTATTCCACAATTGCAGGTACGCGTCCTTTCCCTGTGCTTATGAAAAGTTCACCGTGACAAAATCATACATTGTGGCATAAAATAAATTTCAGTAAACTTTGTAGGAGTGAAATTTAAATGAAACCTTTTTGGTCACCATAAAATGTAATAGAGGGAGGGAGCACTTTACAAGTCATTTTAATAAATTGGTGCAGAAGTAATTGCGGGCTGTACCATTGCTTTCAGTGACAAAAACCGGGATTACTCTTGCACCAACCTGATATTGCGAGAGCAAAACCTGATAAAGACACTGCAGCCAAACTAGAAATGAATAAAAAGAAAATCCCAAACAGTTGGCAACTAAAGTCAAAAACTCACCCACGAGTCAAAGGAATCATACTGAAAAGTAGATGAAAATCAACGCACATCCAAACTGTGAGCTGGAGTCGAAACAATGGTCATAAAGAAATCCGTAAATTTCCATGTGTCATTGGGAGGGAAGAAAGTTTTAAAGCCAACGCTCTGCCTTAAGAAGCGAGAAAAAGAAGGCAAAACGAACGCCGGGGGTAGCGGGACAATGGAAGGAACTGCAGTTAGAGCAGGAGTAAAGGCAGGAGAAAACCTGCAGTTAAGACAGCAAAAAATTAGCGAAGTTCCGAAAGGTCTTTGAAAAGGCGAACAGGTTGGTAAGACCTTAGCAAGACAGATAATAAAGAAACACACACACACACACACACAGTGAGGTAAGGGAGGGGAGAGCTGCTAATGCACAGTATTGGAATGAAAGAGGATATCACTGAGGGAGACACAGGTGTGAAATGCATATTGTTAAAATCTTGATGCCAGTAATTTTTAAAACTTAGATTTAATGGATACTTTTCTTTTAAAATAACTTATCAAAACAAGAAGAAATAGAAAATCTGAAGCACCCTAAAGCTATGAATACATTGAATTGAAAATTAAAAGCTGGGTGTGGTGGCTCATGCCTGTAATCCAAGCACTTTGGAGGCCAAGGCGGGCGGATCACCTGAGGTCGTGAGTTCAAGACCAGCCTGACCAACATGGTGAGACCCTATCTTTAAAAAATAAAAGAAAAGAGAAGAAAGAAAGAAAGAAAATTAAATATCTTTTTACAAAAAACTCCAGGCCCAGGTAGCTTAAATGATGAATTTAACATCACACTAAGAAGTATTACCAATCCCATACATACTATTTCAAAAATGGAGGAAAAGGCAATATTCGTTTTAAAATCATTTCATGATACCAGTGTAACTCTGATACTAAAACCTAATAAAAATATTACAAGAAATAAAATTATAGCTCAATAGTTCTCAACAACAGAAACACAAAACTCCTAAGCAAGACATTAGCACATAGAATATAGTGATATATAAAAACATAATAGGCATTATTAAATGGAGTTTATTCTGGAAATGCAATGCTTGTTTAACATTCTAAAATCAATTACTATTATTCATCCCTGTAGGGACCCCAGCTCCCCACTCTTTCTTTCTGTGTCCTGACCGAAAGCCATGGAGTGCATTGACTGCTCTGTGACCCAGCCTGGAGCAGGTTTTCCCCAGCAGGCTTGAACCCAAACCAGGCCCTTGAACATTCTGGGCACTGATAAAGATACCTAGGCGATATCTTTATCTGACCCGTGGCCCCGAGTCAGATTCCTTAGGTCGTCAGGAAAACCCCATGCCCTAGCCTCGCTGCAGACATGCTTAGGTGGAACACCCTTCTCTCTCACTGTCTCGAGGTTTGCGGCAGCCCTCCGCAAGTGAGTTTCCTTAATAAATGCCTTGGACGGATCACCCAGTCATTTCGTGTCTCTTCCTTTGGAACCCCAACCGGTCTCATCCCCAGCTGGTGCTCAGTTTGGAGCGCTCCTTTGTGAGAACTCCCCTACGTTGGGATGTCTTCAGCTTTGGGTTCAGCAGGATGTGACAACATATTAAGAATAAAGGACACGCATGAAAAACCTGCAGCTCACATTGGACAACCAAAATCAGTGGCCGAAGCATAAATCTCAGTCATCAAGGATTATTAAGGCAGCTTTAGGGCACATCTGGGAAAAATACCAGCCACAGACACACCTGTGGCCATTTTCCTGAAGAAGTTTTCAGGAGGGTTAGTAGGAATACTTTTCCTTAAAGTGGGGAAAGGCATGTAGGAAGAGGGGCAGGTAGGTCTTAAGGGGAATGGCTTTGTTCCTGTGAGACTTTGGTAAATGCCCAGTAAATCTGCATTTCATGTAAGATGAGGTGAATATTTGAATATTTGAAGAGAAAAAAAAAAGCGGGAAAGAGTCAATTACGCAGATATCTCCGGGTAGGTGGAGAAATTAGTCTTGTCTTTGCTCTGCACCTGGGAAGATAAGCTTGTAATCAGCATTATCAGTGTGGAATCAAACGGATTTAGTCTTAGCACCTAGACTTAGGTTGTAGACTCAAACTCACAATTAGCATGTCCTTGTTTATGGGAGGCCAGCAAAGAACTTACTGATGAATGATAGGATTCGTGCAGCTTTTCCAGATGCCTGCAGCCTTTCACCTTTTCGTGGGGGTCTGGCAGATGCATGTTGCGAGTGACAGCTCTTCGTCTGGAAGAGTTCGTTGCATGAGTCAGCCTCTGTGCTAAAGTTTGGGGTCTTGAGATGCTTCATCTTCCTTTACACATCATCTAATGGTGAGATATTGAGTGCTTTTACCGTAAGATCAGAAAGAAGGCAAAGAGTCTGCTTTCGGTCACTTCTGTATGATTACACTGAAAGCCCTGGCTGGGGTGAGCATGCGAGAAAACATACATGGTATAAATAAATATTTCTTTCTTTTTTTTTTTTTTGAGACGGAGTTCGCTCTTGTTCCCCAGGCTGGAGTGCAATGGCGCGATCTCAGCTCACCACAACTCCGCCTCCTGGGTTCAGGCAATTCTCCTGCCTCAGCTTCCTGAGTAGCTGGGATTACAGGCACGCACCACCATGCCCAGCTAATTTTTTTGTATTTTTAGTAGAGATGGGGTTTCACCATGTTGACCAGGATGGTCTCGATCTCCTGACCTCGTGATCCGCCCGCCTCTGCCTCCCAAAGTGCTGGGATTACAGGCTTGAGCCACCACGCCCGGCCCGGTATAAATGAATATTTCAAAGTAAAAAGTAAAACTGTCCATGTCAACAGATACGTATGCATTGTCGCATACATAGAAATCTCTTAACCAATCTCAGAGCAATATAAAAGAAGCAGCTTCATTAGTAAATTTAGGATTGTCATATAAAACATCAATATAAAGTTCATTTCCTATTTAAAAGCAGCAAACAATTGGAAATCACATTTACAAATAATTCATGAAAATAAATAAAACACTTAAGGATAACTTTAAAAAATTACATGTGACCTTTTTATTTGGAAAATATAGTAACATACCATATAAGTTTGTAAAGTATTTATATAAATTTGAAAAAGAGATAGATAAATGGAGAGATATACCATGTTCACAGACTTGGGGAATTAATATTATCAATATGTCAATTCTCTCCAAACTGATATATATATTAAAACAATTTTATTCAAAGTGAAAGCTTTTTTTCGTTAGTAATAATTTGTTTCTAAAATACATATTAGTTTGCAAATTACATAGATCAATGGAAAATAATAGAGTCCAGATCCACTCATACAATATAAAATTAATTAATTTTTGACAAAGGTGTCAAGGTCATTTACTGGATAAAAAAATCTTTTAAAGAAATAGAACTCTGACAATTAAATATCAACGTAAAAAATAGTCAACCCTTATTTGACACTATTCACTGACGTTAATTGAGACCGTGTCTCACGTGTAAAATCTGTAACCGTAAAGCTTGTGGAAGAAAACCGAAGAATGTAACTGCAACTTCGGAGTAGGGAAATGTTTCTTAGCAGGACACAAAAAGCAATAACCGTAAAAGAAAATAAATGGACAGTTTGAGCCTCCTCAAAATTAAAAGCTTCTTTTCATCAGAAGGTACCATTAAGAAAACGGAAAGGCAAGGCACAGACTCAGAGAAAATATTGCCAATACAATACAAACATTTGTCCCAGGAAAAATGGCTGGTTTTGGAGATTGTATGGTAATATCCCACAAGTCAGTTACGGGTCAAGCAAACGTGGATACATCACATAAACGGCTGCTTCATGAAAGAAGATATATGGCCAGCAAGTACATGAAGGGGTTAAAACTTCAGTAATCAAAGATATTCAAGTTTAAAGCACAGTGAATGCGACCTCGCATCCAGAGGTGACTGTATTAAAGACTAATGCTGTCCAGTATTGGCAAGAATGTACATTAAGGAGCATCTCCATATGTCGCTGGTGGATGAGAGAAAAGGCATATGACTTTGCATAGGTGTTGATCATTTTCCTATAAATTTTTCATGTACACCTACACTATGTGGCCAAGGAGCTTCCAAAGAAACCTGAAATCCAGGAAGGCTGTGATGGAATCAGTCCTTCAAAAAGCTTTATTACAGTTACAGATTTTACGTGTAAAGAGTATAGTCTCAATTATTATTATTATAATTATTTTTTGCCACAGAGTCCGCTTGTCACCCAAGCTGGGGCGCAAGTGGCAGGATCTCAGCTCACTGTAACCTCCGCCTCCCAGGTTCAAGCGATTCTCCTGCCTCAGCTTCCCAAGTAGCTGGGATCACAGGCACCCGACACCATGCCTGGCTAATTTTTGTATTTTTAGTAGAGACAGCGTTTTGTCATGTTGGCCAGGCTAATCTTGAACTCCTGACCTCAGGTGATCTTCCCACCTTAGCCTTTCAAAGTGCTGGGATTACAGGCTTGAGCCATCTCGCCCCTCCTCCCTTTTGAAAGGTAGGCACAACTGACCAGCGTTCACATTAAAATCAAGACTCTAAAACTGATAAAACAGACTCTTTGTCGCAGTGAGATACCAACTTCAACCTGACTCTGATAAATATCACATGACGGGTAACAGGTCCTAAAGGAAATACAAATATTTTACATCAAAATGGATTTCTGTGGCATATTTTGAAATGGCCCTGCAGAGCTGTGACTTGTGGGGAGATCTTCATTCTTTAGGGAATCTGCTTCCCTTTCCATGTTTTCTCCTAATCCAGGAGAGCCTTAAACAAGAGTCTGATACATTTAAGTTCAGATAAGAGAAATCTACTATCCCTTCTCTCTGAAGCCAGCCACCCGGAGCCTTCATCTACATAACAAGAACCTTGGCTTCCAATCCCCTCTTATGTTAACCCTCAGATGCCTTTGTGCTGACTCCAACACTTCCGGGAAAGCTCTTTCCACCAGTTGCCAATTAGGAAATCTTGCGTTCACCTATGACCTGGAAGCCCCTTAATTTGAGATCTTTCTGGGTCTTTCGTGGTCAAATCAACGTAAACCTTACATGCATTGATTATGTCTTTGCCTGTGACTCCTATCTCCCTAAAATGTATAAAATGAAGATATAACCCAAACACCTTGGGCACGCGTTATCAGGATCCCCTGAGACTGTGTCATAGGTCGTAGTTCTTGTATTTACCTCAGAAGGTTTTATAGGGTTTCCAGGGTTAGTCTTTTTTTTGCCAACAGACAGTGACTGGGGGGGTGTTTTCTGAATGACGGAACTTTCTGAATGATAAAAAGTTCCAAGTGTTGATAGGTGTGCATATGTAAAAGTGAACAGTTAAGATCTGCGCATTTCACTGCATGTAAATTTTCCCTCAGAAATTTGAAGAAAGAAATACAGGCAGTCTGATATAATTTATCCATGCCGAGACTACTTTTGTTTTCGATTTTTGTTATAAATTCTCCTTTGAAACCACGGCCAACCACAAACCAGCAACCTGCCCCGACTCTTGATAGAAATCTCAATTTCTCAAACAGCAAACAGCAAAATAAAGCGAGAGGACTCAGCCCTCTCCCGCCTCCCGTCACCTGGCTCTGGTGATTACCTGTGGGGTGAGGAGAACTGCTCTTCCTGTTCTCCCAAACCACCAGCACACTCGCTCTGCTTCAACCTAAGCTGCCCTTTCTGATTGCTCCGGGAACCAGTGGAAGAAGCGCAAAAATAAATACCCTGTTTTTCCTCACTGTTTCAGGCAGAATCAGTGGCTTCTCACTTGAAAGTGATCCAGTGTCTTTGAAAGAAGTTTTCTTTAAAATGCAAATGCCGGACTTTTCTCCACAATGAAGGAAAGGCCCTGACCCATCTCCCAGCTGCAAGTGTGCTGTTCTGATTGCCCCCAGGTCCTGTCTTCAAGGGGAGACCCCACCTTTGCTGAGTTTTCTAACATTAGTGTCAGGAAACAAGAATCTGCCACTGATGCTCCTTTTCTAAGGGTATAATCATTTATGTAAAGGAACAACCCAGCACAGCCTCCTTGTCCTTGTCCTCTTTTTCTTCCTCTGCTCTTCATCCTCCTTTTCTCTCTTCTCTATGTCTCAGGTTCCTCTGCTTGCTGCTTTTCCCCATTCATTTTTCTTCTGTTTCCCTCCCCGTCCCCCGCCGGCCCCGGCTGTGTTTGACACATACCCTTAGCTACCTCTGGAATTTGCATGGAGAAACATTGGAAATCAACTTGCCTATGTGACAGAACATAGCTGGGTTACAGAGTAGAGTTGACAACTTTACCTCTTCTAGCCAGAATCAACAGACATCTGTTTAAACAGAAGTCTAGGAGGCATGAAGAACTGGAAGAGCTTACCCAAGAGCTAAGAAACAACTGGGTGGAGTTTGGAAGAGCAGGGATTTGATAGCGAGCACTAAATTTCCAGAGAAATGGAAATTAAATGGAAGAAGATTTTGGTTCATTGCGGCACTGTTTACAATAGCAAAGACTAGCAACCAACCCAAATGCCCATCGATGATAGACTGGATAAAGAAAATGTGGCACATACACACCATGGAATACTATGCAGCCATAAAAAGGATGAATTTATGTCCTTTGCAGGGATATGGATGAAACTGGAACCCATGATTCTCAATAACCTGACACAAGAACAGAAAACCAAACACTGTGTGTTCTCACTCATTAGTGGGTGCTGAACAATGAGAACACACAGACACAGGGAAAGGAACATCACACACTGGGGTCTGTTGTGGTGTGGGGGGCTAGGGGAGGGAGAGCAGGAGGTGGGGGGATTGGGGAGGGATAACATTAGGAGAAATACCTAATGTAGATGATGGGGGGGTGGGTGCAGCAAACCACCATGGCATGTGTATACCTATGTAACAATCCTACACGATCTGCACATGTACTGCAGAACTTAAAGTATAATAATTAAAAAAAAAATGTACAAAAGGAAGACTTGTACATTCACAAAAAACCTGTCAGTTTCTTATTATCAGTTTTTACATTTAGAATGTATTAGAAATTTTAGAATAACAAACATTTTTAATTGCAAATAAGTTCCACAGTGAAAATCTGAACTTAAATGCTTCACAGCAAGTACATTTTTCTTTTTTTTTTTACTGTCATCTGCTGGAAATGTAAGTCTACAACCACCAAGAATACTAAGATATTTTCTAAAGTGACATTATGAATCAGTAAATGGTTATGGAAAATACCCCTTGGCCACGTTGCTCTGAGCTTAGAAACAATAAAATGGTCATAATAACAACCACAAACCACTGTGTAGTATAAAAATACAGTGGTGTCCAGGTGCACTGGCTCACACCTGTAATCCCAGCACTTTCAGAGGCCAAGGTGGGTGGATCACAGGTCAGGAGTCCAAGACCAGTCTGCATAATATAGTAAAACCCTGTCTCTACTAAAAATAGAAAAATTAGCTGGGCATGGTGGTGTGCTCCTATAGTCCCAGCTACTTGGGAGGCTGAGGCGGGAGAATTGGTTGAACCCAGAAGGCAAAAGTTGCAGGGAGCTGAGATTGTGCCACCACTGCGCTCCAGCCTATGGGTGACACAGCGAGACTCTGAATTTGAAAAAAATTCAATGGTTTTGTTTTTTAAAACGAGATATCATGGTATACAACTTATAAAATGGTGGCAATTTAAAACCTTTAATGGAAAATGGTGTAGGAGGCAGCTTCTATGTTGCTATGAAACGTTTTTCTGAGTGTCCTGCCCAATGCAATAAGACAAGAAAACAAGTAATGTGTAATAAGGCAGAAACAAACTGTCTTTTTTTTGCAGATGAGATGTTTGTCTAGTTCAAAAGGAAAGAAAATAACAATAACAACACATCTGACATTCATATAATAATAAGAGAGATCAGTAAGAGGGCTGGATACATGGTCAGTATTTAAAACATTGTTTCCTTATACACAGGTCTCAAGTTTCTTCCTTAAATTCTAGACTCCTAAGCAGGTACGATGCCTGTTCAATATCACTACTTATGTCTTAAATGGTTTTCTCCTTCCTGCACCCCACAGGTATGTATACAGCCCCCATCATGTGCCAGGTCTTCTTTGAGTCACTGGGAATTGAGTATGACAAAGATAAAAAGAAAATCCTGCCTGAATGGACCTTCCCCTCCTGCAGAGAACCAACCTGACAATTAAGAATGATAGATTTTTGGTAAAAAAAAATCATATATGGCATACTAGGTAGTGATGCCTGGTAAGAAAAATAAGGTAAGGAAACAGAGGGAATTGATAGAAAGAGGATTAGACTTTTAGACAGGATGGCTGGGAAGGTCCAGGGAAGGGCGTAGAGGCCTGAAATGTGGAAGAGCATTCTGGACAGAAGGTACAGGGGCCCTGAGGTGGCAGCCTTGATGGCATGCTCCAGTGGCATTGAGGACCAGGGACACGGTGTGACTATGTGCCCACCCAAATCTTATCTTGAATTGTAGCTCCCACAATTCCCACGTGTTGTGGGCGGGACCTGGTGGGAGGTAATTGAAACCTGGGGGCAGGTCTTTCCTGTGCTATTCTTGGAATAAGTCTTTAGAGATTTGATGGTTTTATAAAAGGGAGTTTCCCTGCACAAGTTCTCCTCTCTTGCCTGCTGCCCTTTGAGACCTGCCATTTCACTTTCCGCCATGATTGCGAGGCCTCCCCAGCCACGTGCAACTGTGAGTCCATTAAATGTGTTTCTGTCAGGCTAGGCACGGTGGCTCACGCCTGTAATCCCAGCACTTCGGGAGGCCGAGGAGGGTGGGTCACCTGAGGCTGGGAGTTTGAGACCAGCCTGACCAAGATGGAGAAACCCTGTCTCTACCAAAAAAAAAAAAAAAATTAGCCAGGTGTGGTGGTGCGTGCCTGCAATCCCAGCTATTTGGCAGGCTGAGGCAGGAGAATCCCTTGAACCCCAGAGACGGTGGTTACCTGCGGTGAGCCGAGATGGTGCCGTTGCACTCCAGCATGGACAACAAGAGTGGAACTCCATCTCGAACAAAATAAAACAAACAGGAAGAAAACCAACTCTTTCTTTCATAAATTGCCTAGTCTCAGGTATGTCTTTATCAGCAGCTAGACTAATACAGCCAGTTCACTTGGAGTAGAGGAAGAGAAGAGGAGAGGGGCAGGAGAGGAGGTCCTTTAGGAACCTAGGTCACTGTGAGGATGTCGCCTTTGTCGTGAGAGAGATGGGATGACGCTGGAAGACTGAAGGAGTGACCTCATTTCTATTTGACATTCGAGACGGACTTCTCGACTGCCTCTCACCCACACTCCAGAACTTGCTCCTTTCCCAGTATTTCCAGGTAATAAGTGGGTTCTTTCCTCCTCTCTTCGCTGGTCGCTTCAGCCATAATACCTGGAGCCTTCCTTATGTCTGTCCTCTTCTATGACAACGCACCAAGTCCATCGTCACATCCTGTTGGGCTTACATTTAACACACCGCTCGTCTTCTCCGGAGTCCATGCTGCTCTAAGGTATGATCTGCTCTCTCCTGGGCGAGGCGAGAGCTTCTTGCCTTGTCCCCCTGCTTTCAGTCTCACCCCACTATGCTCTGTATTTCATAGTGAAGTCACAGGGATTCTTAAAAATACAAGAATCAAGGCATGGCCTTTGCTTGCTCAGAATTCTCCAGACCCTTCCCATCACATTTAGAAACAATATCAGAGTCCTCGCTATGGGTGTAAAGGGATCTAGGATCTTGCCCTGTTGCCTTCCTGGTCTCAGCTCTTTCTGCTTCTGCCCAGCTTCTGAATCCCTGCCCACCTTCTCTTTCTCAGACAGCCCAACACATTCCCTCTTTAAAACCATTTCACGTTTTTTCCTTTACCAAGGAGCGTTCTTCTTCCTGAGCCCCCAGCTCACTTGCTTCCTGTCTCTTTTCGAATTTCACCCCTTAGAGAAGACAGCCCTATGTTTCTATGAAACGGGCTTCTGTGAGCACCCTATTTCAGTAGGTACATGCACCGTAAGGTCATCCGTAGAATCAATGAATTCACTCCAAAGAATCCAGTGAAATTTTTGTGCCACTTGACAGACTAATTTTTAAAATTCATCTGGAAAAAGATTTGCAAAAGAAGAATATATAAAATCATTTGTTTTGTTTTGAAAAAGCAAAACAAGGTAAGAGTTGTCCACAAGATGTGAAATTGTAGTATGTTTCTGAAGTAACTAACTCAGCATGCTGTTGGTGCCATAACAGCCGTAAACTGGGGCCAGGCGCGGTGGCTCACACCTGTAAACCTGGCACTTTGGGAGGCCGTGGTGGGCAGATCATGAGGTCACGAGATCGGGACCATCCTGGACAACATGGTGAAACCCCGTCTCTACTAAAAAGACAAAAATTAGCTGGGCATGGTGGTGCGCTCCTGTAATCCCAGCTACTCGGGAGACTGACGCAGGAGAATCGCTGGAACCCAGGAGGCGGAGGTTGCAGTGAGCTGAGATTGTGCCATTGGACTCCAGCCTGGAGACAGAGGAAGACTCTGTCTTAAGCCAAAAAAAAAGTAATAAATTGAATAAATAAGGGGGGAAAACACATTCATGTAAACATAAGATTTCAGTTCATAGTGAGTGTATGAGAGAGACACTTCAAATTCACAATGAAGTAGACTCTTGAGTAAATGGTATTAGAACAAATATCTAACCATATAAGAAAGGGTAATACAAATAATAGGGACATTAAACAATACATGCTAAATATGAAAACAAACCGTGAAAGAAGAAAATAGGAATTTGTGAGAATCACTTGGTATCTAAAATCTTTTCCAAAACAAGGTGCAGAATTTGGAAGCCCCGAGGAAATCAGAAATACAGAAACATTTGACCTAATAGAAACAAAAATAAAATACTTTAATAATACAGGACGACATAAAGTTTAAAGAAGATTTCAAAGTGTGAGAAAATGGTTATTCCACGGGTTGTTAAAAGCACAAACAAGGAACAGGCCATTCCCCTTGGGGACGGGCAAAGCCTTTGGCTAATTTTCATGTGAAGAAATACCAAATAATCAAGAATAACATAAAAGGTCACTATTATAAATAGCCATGGACATGAACTTTAAAATACGAACGAAACATTTCAGCTCAACGACTTTGCAATTTTAAAATGGACAATATCAAGTATCAGTGAACTTGTAGGTAAATAAGTTTGTTCAATATAATTGTGGGTGATTCCAGGAAATAGTGAGAGAAGCCTACTTTCACTCCTTGATCCCCAGACCCATGTCTTATGGCTAAAGGCGGAGAAAGCCCCCCACAGCAGTCTCTGATTCCAAGCATGTAATGCCCCCTGTAAGACCTAACCCAGCCTGCTGGGGTGTTGTCTCCTGAGCTGCCACTGAGTGTCCGGCGTGCTAGTTCACCTCACGAACAGGCCGTCTGCTTCTGGGTGATGGGATATGCGGTGAGATCAGCGTACCTCATCTCCTCCCTGGGCAGGAGACCTTTGCTGTCCTCCTTTGCTGTGAAATGAGTTCCCTGGCCAGAGGCTCCACTGTCAGGAGCGCCACGTCGGTGGAGAATGAATTCTGCAAGCCCAGGATGTGTGTGGTGGCGGAAGCATTACAGGCAGGGAAGGCACATGCGTATCCAGCACAGATGTTTGTTCCTATGAGGATGCATCTCTGTCTTGTCCACGATGGAAGAAGTCCAGTGTCACCAACCTGCCTCCCGATGGCCAGCTGCTCCCTGCGGGAAATGGTGCCACTTGGGAGCTCAGTGTTGGTCTCTGCTGCTGGCAGATCGGGCACCCAGCAGTGACCTGAGCCAGGCCAGACTTGGTGAGTGACATCCATGCAGAGTGCAGGCACAGCCTCCATCCCTGCCACCGTGGCCACTTTGCTTAGGAGCCCACTCGACGATGACAGGGAGGACGGGGAAGGTGGCTGCCTGGTGCCCACAGAATGTGTTATCTCGTCCACCTGAGTATTAAGAATTTCTTCCAGGTCGTTGTTCTCTTGTGACCTTCATTCACGCGGGACGCACATATCTTCACAGTCTGTTTGCGTCCTGAGAGGTCTGTCCGCAAAGCTCTTCACAGCCAGCAATCTCCGGTCTTGTTCTTTCCGACCCGTCGGCAGATGCACACACATTAGTGCGGGTCTGCACTTCTAGTCACTTCTCACTCCGAAATCTACATACTGCTCGGAGCTCTGCCCACTGAAATGATTTTCCTTCTCCACTGTGCCCCAGGCTCACCCTGAGGCAGGTCGCTGTGCTACAGCTGTCCCCTTTTGCGGGCAGCAGATCGATCACGAAGCCCGTCAGTAAGTTTAGCTGAAGTTGGTTCTACCTCAGTAGCTGAAAGAGACACCTTGATAAGCGGTGGGCATGGCACCTGGGGTGGGTGGAGGTAGCGAAACAGGAGGCGGTGCTGGGTGAGTCAGAGACACCTGCTCACCCTACGTGGGCCTCACAGACGCGCCTGGATGCCGTCTCCCATGCCCCATTTCATTTGACTGTCCATCACTGCTGCCCACACTGAATCTCCTGTGGGTCTCAGGAGATGGAAAGGGTCTTCCAGGTAGGTGGACAGATCTGGTGAGGGAACTCTAAACTGGATCGCAGACATGTTGCAAAAGGAGAGCGGTGCGGGGCCTGGTTTTGCCTAAGACCTGGCTGCCAGGTTGGACAAGGAAGGCTGGGAGGCAGGTGGATCTGTGGGCATCCATCTGGGCTGGCATCATCATCGGGACAGTTAGGTATGAGTGTGATTTGCAGGGGATGCGGCTGGGGACCCAGTTCAAATCACAGACCTTTTGGCCAGCCCTTCAGTTGTCAACAAGGGCCATGGCGGAATCCCTAAACCGGAGTTTGTGGTCCTGCCTGGGAGCACAGGGAGAGCCCCGGTGGAGACAGGCAGGGAAGCCTGCGGCCACCAGGACCTCTTCCTCTCCATCTCTGTTCTCAGTGGCTCCATCTCAGAAATGAGAGGTGTCGCCCACCCCGTCAGCTGCACCCCTCCCCCGCCCCCACTGCTGCAGTCATTTGAAAGCAGGTACTACAGGTGGGCCAGGAGGTGAGCTTTGGAGGTGTTGATAGGAAAACATTCACACCTGCCACTGCCTGGTGGCACCAGAGAAAGTGGAATATTCCATTTGTGCTTGATAAAAAGACATGTGTATTCTCATCCCCACTCATCCTGCTGAACACTCTCCCTGGAGAGTGAGATGAACAACCTGCCGGCGTGTTCTGCTGAGCAGGACAGTGCTGAGCACTTGATGAGGGTGCGGGATTAAGGGTGACACACTCTCAGGTGCTTCCCATCACTGGGCAGTTTACCCTAGCTAGGATCCCAATCTCCTCTCAGAATAAGAGTGATTTCCAGGTAGCCAGATCCAGGGAGGAACTCCAGTTGGAGCAGAGACATGGTGCAAAATGACAGGGGTGTGGGGGCCTGAGCACAGCAATGTGCTCAGCTTCTCCTCCAGTCCGGCCCCCACAGCAGTAGGGAGGTGCTGAGCCATGCCCCCCTCCTCCCGGGCTCTGTCCTGGCAGCCACAGCACAACTCAAGGGAGAGGCGGCTGAGTCACTTTCCTTGCCGGAGTTAGGGTGGTCTTTGAGCTCTGGGTGAGTCAGGAGGATACATTGAGGGGCCAGTCTCCGTGTAATATGAGCTCAATTTCTTGCTGGTGCAAGTCACACTTAGGTTGCGTTTAGGAAAAGTAACCGGATGGTGAAAATGGAATTCGTTTTCTAGAAATTCAGGTAAAACGAGAGCAAGGACTTAGTGGGGCAGGGTCCGTGGGTGGTTTTGAGCAGGGCAGGTGAGGCTCTGAGGCCCTGGGGACTCCCATGCACAGGCTTCGAGCAAGTCCAGCAGTGTGGGCAAGATGGATCCAGAGAAACTAGGGGGCTTTATTTCACCCCTCAGCTCCTAAATGCAGCCTCACCAGAGAGAGGGAAGAGGAAAGTTCCCAGATCATCTGCCGTGTTTCAGGCCCCTTGCCAGATATTTCTGTACTGGATACATCACTGATAAGGTTTGGCTCTGTGTCCCCACCCAAATCTCATCTTGAATTGTAATCCCCACGTCTCAAGGCAGGACCTGATGGGAGGTGACTGGATTATGGGGGTGGTTCCCCCCAAGCCATTCTCGTGACGGTGAGTCTCACGCGATCTGATTGCTTTTAAAATCGGCAGGTTTTCCTGGTCCGGCACACATCCACTCCTGCCGCCTGGCGAGGGAGGCGCCTGCTTTCCCCCAGCCTTCCGCCATGGTTGTAAGTTTCCAGAGGCTTCTAGCCATGCCTCCTCTTAAGTCTGCAGAACCGTGAGTCAGTTAACCGTCTTTCCTTTATGATAACCCAGTCTCAGGTAGTATTCCTGGTAGCAGTGTGAAAATGGACTCATACATCGTCTTTGTCACAGTGTTTCAGCCGCTTCAGTATAGGTATTATTCATTTCTCTTTGGAGTAAAGGAAACTGAGGGAAAGAGGAAGTAATTTACCTGTGGACACACCAGTTTCAGGTGAAGGAGCCAGGATTACATCCAGGTGTGTTTGGCTCTCTGCACACCTCCAGGTGGCTCCTTTCTCTCTCTGTCTCTCTCTCTCTCTCCCTCTCTCCCCCCCATCTCTCTCTCCCTCTTTCCCCTCCTTTCTCCCCGTCTCTCCCTCTCATCTCTCTCATCTCTCTCGTCTCTCCAGTATTCTCCAAACATTTGTATGGACCTGGAAATCTCTTTAGTTTTTTTCCATCTAGACCTCAGGGTAACTTCTCCCTGGGCATCCCTTGGTTTAGGGTGGCAGAGACACACTTTCCTCCCCTCCCCATGGTCAGTGTGGTAGAAATACAAGCTTCCTACAGTTCCCTCTAAGTGAATCTCTACTCTTAATCTCTGACATGGACCATCATCCTGAGTTCTGTAGCCTGGAGGTGGACAAGGGGTGCAGGTGTGTTGAGGACCGATTCTCAGCACATTCTTCGTGGGTGGCTGGTACCTCTAAATGCAAGGTGGAGGACGTAACACTCTGCGTTCTTAGCTGTCATTCTGGGAGAAGACGCGTCATATTTTAGCATGGGTTACGCGCACATTCGCATCAAGCTGCCCGCTGAAGAGCAAACTCCTTCATGCTGGAGGATGGCGTTAATTCCTGTAGGCTTTTCTTCTGTGTCCCTTGTTCACGCAGCGGGGCACTCCACACATGGATGCCTAGACCTGAGTGGCTGGAGCATTGGGTTGTTTGGAGCACAGTGATGTGGGTGGGAGGGAGCCCAATGGTTCTGACCCCTGAGCCCCCGTTTTCAGTGAGCGCGGGTTGTATTGTTCAGCATCTAGGTGTGAAAAGTATTTTTAAATGTACTAGGTGAAGAGTACAATTGTTATTCAGACGTAGTCTGTTTTCCCCCTGGAAAGACTGCCTCTGAACGCTGAGTGATTTTCCTGCCTTTTCAGTCAATCAGAGGTTTCACCGTAGTGTAAACCCTTGGGCGCCAGAGCCTCCCGCCTCCCCCCATATTCTATGAGATTCCATGCTCTCTTCTTCGCCAGCAGCGCTGACAGATGCATTGCAGATGGTTAGCCTCCAGGTGAGATTAGATTGAACCCTCCTTATCTCCTCCTTGTCGTTGTATCACTTGCAGGAGAAGCTGGGTTGTGAGATCTGCCATTGTTGTTGCTGTGTTTTTTTTTTTTAAGAAAAAGAAATAGAAAAAAAAAGAAAAGAAAGAGAGAAAGAAAAAAAAAAGAATGAAAGGAAGAAAGAGGAAGAGGGAGAGAGAACGGGAGTGTTGCTTTATTGCCCAGGCTGGAATGCAGTCTGAAAATGGGTATTGAAAACCTCTTTTATGCCACTAATTGTGCTTAATAATGGAGACAGGAGAAAATGAGGGAAGAAAAAAACAAGTAGCCAACCAATATTTCACGTAAACCTGTGAGTGGGTGCGATGTGGTACTGGTAAGAGCGTATATTTTGTGTGTTTAAAGTGGAGAGTTCTGTAAATGTTTATTAAGTTTATTTGTTCTGGATCTGAGTTCGAGTCCTGGACATCCTTGTTGATTTTCTGTCTCGTTGATCTGTCTAATATTGATGTTGAAGTCTCCCAGTATTATTGTGTGGGAGTCTAAGTCTCTTTATAGGTCTTACGTATCTGGGTGCTCCTGTATTGGGTGCGTATGTATTTAGGATCTTCCGCTCTTCTTGTTGCATTGATCCTTTTACCATTATATCTTTGTTGCTTTAAAATCTATTTTATCAGAGGCGAGAATGGCAACTCCTGCTTTTTATTTATTTATTTTTGCTCTCCATTTGGTTGGTAAATCTTTCTCCGTCCCTTTGTTTTGAATCTTTGTGTATCCTGGCATGTGAGATGGGTCTGGATGCAGCGTACCGACGGGTTTTGACCTTTCATCCAATTTGCCTGTCCGTGTCTTTTGATTGGGGGATTTAGTTGATTTAAATTTAGGGTTACTGCCATTTGATGTTAACTGGCTGTTTTATCCATTCATTTATATAAATTCTTCTTTATGTTGGTGCTCTTTACTTTTTGGTGTATTTTTAGAAAGGCTAATACTGGTTGTTTCTTTCTATGTGTAATGCTTCTTTCAGAAGCTCTTGTAAAGCAGGCCTGGTGGTAATAAAATCTCTGAGTTCTTGCTTGTTCACAAAAGATTTTATTTTTCCTTCACTTGTGAAGCTTAGTTTGGCTGGATATGAAATTCTGGGCTGAAAGTTCTTTTCTTTGAGGATGTTGAATATTGGCCCCCACTCTCTTCTGGCTTGTAGGGTTTCTGCTGAGAGATCTGCTGTGAGTCTGATAGACTTGCCTTTGTGGGTAACCTGACCTTTTTCTCTAGCTGTTCTTTTTTTTATTTTTATTTTTATTGCATTTTAGGTTTTGGGGTACATGTGAAGAACATGTAAGATTGTTGCATAGGTACACACGTGGCAGTGTGATGTGCTGCCTTCCTCCCCATCACCTGTATCTGGCATTTCTCCCCATGCTGTTCTTAAAGGGAACATTCCCTCTGTTAGGAAAATCTGACGGCTGGAAGCCGGGAGTTCCTGACCCCTTGCCCTGAAGCAAGAGTGACCAGGCCTGTCTCCTGGGGGATGGCCCTCCCAGGTGGGGACACAGGACATGGGCCCTAAGGTGAGAACTGGGGTGTCGTTCACTCCCTCTTTCATGCCACGAGTGTGGACGGTGCAGTGACTGTCACAGGAACTCAGCTGTGCCCACACCTGCTCTGTTACCCCGGCGCTTTGGGAAACTGCAGAGTCCAGCAGAAACCACTGGAGTTTTGGGCTCAGAGGGATTCCTGTTCGAGTCCCCGCTTGGTCACCTGCGAGGCTCAGTGTTGGTGTAGGAACGGAACTTCTCGGAGTCTCAGTTGCTCTCAGCAATATTTTACCACCATCGTTATTCATAGTAGAATAATACCCTCTCGGACTTGATAAGTGCATTTGCGTGCCTGACACAGCGTTATGGGCTTATGCCTTAATTAATGCCACCTTCCTAGGTGGATAAATTAATATCCCCATTTCATGGTTGAGGCAGCTGAGGCTCAGGGAGATTAGTAATTTGTCCAAGACCCCACGGCCAACGAGTGGTGCAACCCAGAGTGGCTGCTCCAAGGCTGCCATCGGCCTGGGCATCTGCCAAGGTGCTGCCTCTCCTGTGGCAGCCGCCAACCCCCAGCACCTGGAGAAAATGTAGCAGGCTGGTGAGTGGGGTGGGGCGTGGGGCCATGTGGCTCCCTCCATGCATGAAAAACCCGTGAGTGACAAATGCGTAGGAAACAGTCCTTCTTGGCTGGCAGACTGTCACTGTCTGCAGATTGCCTGGTATTCACTTTCTTAGAAGTCTCAGGCCTCAGGGCGCTGAGGTTCTGCGTTGATGCAGTGGCTCAGCTTTGCTGCTCTCTGTGCCCCGGGAATTGCACACTTTGCACATGTATTTATTTAACGCTTGTGGAAATTCTTTGAGGATTGAAGTCACTGGTAATCCCTTCTGAGTGTGGCCTTTGGGGTGAATCTGCTCCAGCTGTTTTCAACCTTGTTCCAAAGCCCTGCAGGGAGAGGCTGAGTTCTGGAGGGAGGCGGGAGCTGGGTGCATCAGGGATGGGTGTGGAGGGGCAGGTCTGGGGGAAGCCACTATGGGGCTGGAGGCTGGGCAGCTCAGGGCTCCTCACCATCCTCCCACCCAGCTCCTGCAGATGCCTCCTTGGCAGGACTCCTGGGTGAGCTCAGGACCTAGTGGGGTCCAGGGAGGCCAGGGTTGTTTTCCAGTCTGCAAAGCCCAGCCTGAGGTCGGGGCTGATGCCTGAGATTCTGCTCAGCTGACCTTCTCCAAGGGGGCTGCAGCTGCTGAACCCCTGACAGGGCCTTGGGGGCCTCTCTGGTCTGACCAGCTCTGCACCCACCTTGCTCCAGCCCTTGGCTGTGCCTCATCAGGACAAACTGCTGCTATTTTCCGAGATGTCCTTGGATCTGTGGTCTTCTCACCCACACCCCTATCCTGGCTGTGTGGAACCCTCTCCCCATTTCTCACTGGGCCAGTTCCTCCTACTCCAGTTCGCTCATGGAACAGTTACCATCTACTGAATGCTCACCGTATAGTCATGGGGTGCAGTGGGAGTAACACAGGCAGCTCCCTCCAGAGCCCAAACCCTCCAGTGCTCCCCACCCAGCCTGGTGCCACCTGCCGTAGGCAGGGCCAGGGCCAGCTCATCTTCATGCGCCGCAGAGAGCCTTGCTTGGAGCCCAACAGACCCTTCATGATGGCTTTTGTGTCAAATGGGGCTAGTCCTCAGCAGGCAACCCCCTGTTCCCCAACAGCCACACTGCTCTAAGCGTGCTCCCTGCAACCAAGCTCTGCTGAGGGTCTAAAGGGATGGCCAGGACCCATCCCAGATGCCCAAGTGATCCAACAAGGCCCCTGTGGGAAGTGGGGCTGGGCAGGGCATGCTTTTGCACCTGCAAACTCTGCGCAGCTGCGCCTTGGCATCTCCCGCCTGATTCCCGGCAGCTCACCCACCCCCCCCCCCCGAGTCTCCACTTTCTTCTCACGTGGACCTCTGGGTGTGGCGCGTGCATGTGAGTCTGCACACGAGTGTGCGCTCCTGCAGCACCTAGGGTGATGGCCAGGTAGCAAAACCTCCCAGGAGAGTGCAAGTGCCTTTGTTCAGCTTCTGCTCTGCTCACTACAATTCAGTGTCTGTGTCCTAATAGAGAAATGCAGTTTTCCCTTCCTTCCAGCCGTCCTCTGAGGAAGAAAAAGCCCTTTTTCCTCTCCCTCCCTCCTGGCCATTCCTCCCCTCCTATGGTTAATAGGCTGGTGGGTTACTTACTGCAAACACTGTTTCCCAACCAGAATCAATTCTCTTTGCTTTTCTCTATTCCCATTAATTGTGATTCATAGGAACTTAAAAGGCTCTCATAGCAGCATTTATATTTGGAAACTGTAAATCTCAGAAACTAACTTTCTCTTGGGATACACACACACACACACTCCTCTCTCTCTGACCTGTGAACAGCACTTTAGAGATTACAAAGCCTTTTCTTTTTTTTTTTTTTTTTTCTGAGACAGAGTTTCACTCTTGTTACCCAGGCTGGAGTGCAGTGGCGCGATCTCAGCTCACCACAACCTCCGCCTTCTGGGTTCAGGCAATTCTCCTGCCTCAGCCTCCTGAGTAGCTGGGATTACAGGTATGTGCCACCGTGCCCAGCTAATTTTTTGTATTTTTAGTAGAGACGGGGTTTCACCATGTTGACCAGGATGGTCTCGATCTCTTGACCTCGTGATCCACCTGCCTCGGCCTCCCAAAGTGCTGGGATTACAGGCATGAGCCACTGCGCCCGGCCTGAGATTACAAAGTCTTTTCACAGTGACTGCCACATGTGAGTGTCCCCCAGCCCCAGGAAGGGGCTAGGCAGCTGTTTCTCCCATTTTCTAAATAAGGAGAGAAAACCTCTTGCATGTTGTGGCACAAGCTGGGGCATAAGCCTTCCAAGTCCCTGCTTTTCTCCTCCTGCCCAGGAAACCCGGCCAAGAGTTAGCGGTGGGATAGAGGGTTTCCAGCTGATGACGGGATCCAACCTGCTCCCCTCTTAGTTCCGTGAGTGCAGCCAGGAGCCTCTGGGAATATCACAGAGGGGCCCATTTCAGAGCTAGGACTCTATTGAATGGACTTGAGGAAACGGCTCCTGCCGTGAGAATTTGCAGATGTAACCAGACCCTCCGCCGGCCCAGCCGACCGTGACAGGATGCACGCCGCATCCCCAGGGTGGTCCAGGTCCTTCAAGGACTGTCACAGCATTTTGCACAGGGTGGAAGCAGGACTAGAGAGGTCCTGTGTTTTCTCTGAGGTCACACTACTGTTGCATCTCAGCTCAGCCTTGGGGCCTGGGCCAGGTCTGCTCTGGAGCCCTTGCCCTTGACGTGCATCTTGGTGATCAGAGCACAGGGCTCTCCTCTGGCTGTCCTCTCCCACTCCTGCCTGGGCTGGTCTTTTTCTACTACATGTGTGACGTGGTAAAAGCCCCATAAATCTGCATACCTCATCCATACCTCAGCTTTCTGTAGAAACTGCTCTCTACAACCCAAATGTGAATAAGTAATTAAGGACTGTGATCCCCACCCTCCCCAGACAATGTGTAAAGGAATGCTAATCTTAGCTTTTGTGAACCACCTAAGTAACAATCAGAATGTCAAATAGTCCCCTGGCCCTCGGAATGTCCGGAAGCCCCTCACCCTCATCTCCGCCCAGAAGGTGATTTACAGAATCCACTAAGCCCTCGAATTTCCTATATGAATGACTTAATATATGTGTATAGTCAGGGTTCTCCAGGAAGCCCCTCACCCCCATTCCCTCTCCTCACCCCCACTCCCAAGGTGGTTTTGCAGGTATAAAAAGTCCTTGTCACCCTTCTTTCTCTGCCACGGGTTGGAGAGACGTGAGTCCTCCGTGGTCGCCGGCAGCAAACCCTGCAATTTGGCATACTTTTGTCTTGGTGTTGACTTTCTGTGCTCGGTCCAGTATAACCCATGGACATTCTGGCTTGTGGATTCCTTCCTGCAGCAGTCTTGCTCTGCTCAGAGCTCTCAGCCAGTCTTCTGCCTTCACAAAGCTCCTCTATACAGCCGTAAGAGATGGCAGCCCCTCCAGAGGGCCTCCCCACTCCGCTGGACTCTGGTCAACATCATGTGTGCTGCTCATTGTCATGCCTGTATTCGCCCCCACTGTCTTTGCAGTGAGCTCCCGATGGCAGGGCCTGAGCCCACCACCACCTGTCTACCTTTGTAGGGCTGTTTCCTCTATGAATGACTGAATATATGTGTATCAGTCAGGGTTCTCCAGAAAACCCTCTCTCTGTAGTGAGAGATCTATCTTATACATAGAGAGAAATTTATTTGAAGAAGTTGGCTCGGCTTGGCATGGCGGCTCATGCCTGTAATCTCAGCACTTTTGGAGGCCAAGCAGGTGGATTGTTTGAACTCAGGAGTTCCAGACAAGCCTGGGCAACATGGTGAAACCCTCTCTCTACAAAAGACCCACAGAAATCATCGGGTGGGTGTCATGCACCTGTAGTCCCAGCTACTTAGGAGGCTGAGGTGGGAGAATCACCTGAGCTCAGAAGCTGGAAGCTGCAGGGAGCCATGGCCATGCTACGCCACACCAGCCTGGCTTACAGAGTGGGACCTGTTTCAGTCAGTCAGTCAATCATTAGTTTACAGGACTGTGGGGTTCAGCATGTTGGGCCAGCTAGCAGGCTGGAAACTCAAGTAAGAGTTGATGTTACAGTCTCGAGTGTGAAATCTGCATGCCGGAAACACAGGCAGGCTTCCTGCATTGCAGTCTGGAGGCAGAATTTCCCCTTCTTCAGGAAAACCCAGTCTTTGCTCTTAACTCCAGCTGATTGGATGGGGCCCACCTATACAACGGACAGTAATCACCGTACTGAAAAGCCACTGGTTTAAGTGCCAAGCACATCTGAGAAATGCCTTTCCCATAACACCTGGACTGGTATTTCACCAAAGAACTGAACACCATGGCCCAGCCAAGTGTAACATGAAACTTACCATCTCAACAGATGAAGCCGTTAGAATACTGCTTGGTGAACAGAGCATGCTCAATAACTGTAGCAATTATTGGCCGGGCGCAGTGGCTCACGCCTGTAATCCCAGCACTTTGGGAGGCCGAGGCGGGTGGATTACGACGTCAAGAGATCGAGTCCACCCTGCTCAACATGGTGAAACCCCGTCTCTAGTAAAAATACAAAAAATTAGCTGGGTGTGATGGCGCGTGCCTGTAATCCCAGCTACTCAGGAGGCTGAGGCAGGAGAATTGCCTGAACCCAGGAGGCGGAGGTTGCGGTGAGCTGAGATCGCGCCATTGCACTCCAGCCTGGGTAACAAGAGCGAAACTCCATCTCAAAAAAAAATTAAAAAAATAAATAAATAAACTGTAGCAATTATTAGCTATCAGCAAGCGAGTACTTAATGTCTACTGAATCACTTAATAGACTTAATAGACTTTTAAAGAGTTCAAAGAATTATTTTTTTGACATTGAGAACCCGATGCAAACTTCCCACGATGCTGTGTGATATCTCAGAACATCCGAGGACCCGTTGCACCACTGGGTTCTGTCTGGGTAAAGAAACTCACTAAGGTCCCCTGGTTTTCATTTCTATGATTTCATTATTTTATTAGGTCTTCTTAGGCAAAAAAAAAAAAAAAAAAAAAAAAAAAAAGTTATCTGCCTTTTTGTAATAAAGTAACACCTAGAAAGCTATGCGACTATGAGCACACTTGAGGATTTCTGTTTGGAGCCATTGTATATTCATGCACTTTAATTGGAAAGCGTGCAGTTACCTGGCTGGAGGTTTATCGCAGCCGGCTTGATGCATCCCCCAGGATTATGAGCCAGGAAGGTTGCCTAGAGAAAGCCCATTTTTACAGAATGCAATTTTTCATGGTGTTTTTGTTTTCACAAAGATAAAATAATTATGGGAAATGGACAGAGAGATTCCTGGCTTTTTATTTTCCTTTTCCAGGCTGGTTGTAGTAGACTCTTAAAAATGTCAAAACAAATCACCGAATTTTGTTATGTTTATTATACTTCTTACCATATTCATTGAGTGAAAACACTTTGTTTTTAAACCTGAAGAATTGCATGGGTAAATTTCCACAGCAGACGTTTACTAAGAAAGTATGGTGCTGATATCTTCCAGAAGACTGGCTTTTGCCAGATGACCCGTCAATGGCACTTGGAGTTGGCATGGCAAAAATGGGCCTTGCTAACCAGTCAGATGGTCCTTCAAAATGCACAGAGGCGATTTGGGAATTATTTAATATTGTTGGAAGCATTGTGGCACGTAGAATAAACAAATGCTTGCTTAAATTGAACAAAACTTATTTTTTTACCAATCATTTGTGCAAATTTCATAAATGTGTTTCATACATCTCAGTAACCGCCGCATTCAGATGATGGTCCTTTTATATTCTGGTGGGAATTCTGCTGAGGCTTGAACCAAAGAGGTTCGAAATCTCTAACAACTATATACTTATGTGATATAGCTGGCCTAGAGTTAGAACCAGTACAATGCCATTTTAAAATGGGAAAACGGTTTCCATTCTCCTCACAATGACTACTAGCCATGGCTTCTGTAAACTACTAAGATTACCCTGCAAAATGCAAAGAGAGGACAAGCTGCACACTTTCTCTTATCTGTAACTGCCAGAATTGCTGGCCTTTGTTTACCAAAGTAAGCACCCCCAGATAATTCCATCCTGGCGCCAAGTAACCTAAAATTATGTGGACCCCACACCTGTCCAAATAATGTATAAACTGATGTTTACCTTGACCTCTGTAAACCACTTAGGAGGCAATCGGAATGACAAAAGTCCCCTGGCCCTTGGAATATCTGGAGCCCCCTCACCCTCCTCTCAGCCTAGGAGGTGATTGACAGCTTTCATTCCCATCTCCGTTCCTCACCCCCACTCTCAAGGTGGTTTTGTGGGTATAAAAAGGTCTTGTCACTCTTCTTTCTCTGCCACGGGTTGGAGAGACGTGAGTCCCCCGTGGTCGCCGGCAATAAACCCTGCAATTTGGCATCCTTTTGTTCTGGTGTTGACTTTCTGTGCTGAGTGAGATATAACACTTGTATTAAGTAGTGGAACTTTCGTGTCTATTGTGCATTCTGTAAATATGTCTTTAATGTAATTTACTGAAGCACAGCCTAACCATGGCAGAGTGTACGCGGGGCCAGACATACTGAGCAGATGCCCTGCTTTTTCTCATCTGTTAATTTCATTATGCGTTAATATGTGTACACTTATAAGAAACCTCAAATCACTTGGTTTTGCTTTGTTTTGAGGAGTCTTGCTCTCTCTCCAGGCTGGAGTGCAGTGGTGTGATCTCCACTCACTGCAACCTCTGCCTCCCAGGCTCAAATGATTCTCCTGCCTCAGCTTCCCAAGTAGCTGGGACTGCAGGTGTGCACCACCACGCCCCACTCATTTTTGTATTTTTAGTGGAGATGGGGTTTCACCATGTTGGCCAGGATGGTCCCAATCCCTTGACCTTGTGATCCACCCACCTCAGTCTCCCAAAGTGCTGGGATTACAGGCGTGAGCCACCGTGCCTGGACCCTCAAATCACTTTTATAAAGGGTTGATGTTACCTAAACAATACAAACACAAGACACACACACACACACACACACACACACGTGTCCGTAGACAGTCTTTTTTTTTTTTTTTTGAGATGGAGTTTCACTCTTGTTACCCAGGCTGGAGTGCAATGGCGGGATCTCGGCTCACCGCAACCTCCGCCTCCTGGGTTCAGGCAATTCTCCCGCCTCAGCCTCCTGAGTAGCTGGGATTACAGGCACGTGCCACCATGCCCAGATAATTTTTTGTATTTTTAGTAGAGACGGGGTTTCACCATGTTGGCCAGGATGGTCTCAATCTCCTGACCTCGTGATCCACCCACCTCAGTCTCCCAAAGTGCTGGGATTACAGGTGTGAGCCACCGTGCCTGGACCCTCAAATCACTTTTATAAAGGGGTTGATGTTGCCTAAACAATACAAACACAACACACACACACACACACACACACACACACACACACACACACACGTGTCTGTAGACAGTCTTAATGTGAATGCTGTGAGAAACAAAATACCTTTCATGTTTTGCACATATTAGACGCCTAATAATCATTAGCAGTCACTGAGAAAAACTGAAGATACCAGTTGAAGGTTTGAGAATTGAAGGATTTATCTGTGTGGCAAAATGAGGCATGTGCTATTTCTCGTGTCTTTTCCTCCCAGGCGTATTAGTCAGGGCTATCTGGAGGGGCAGGACTAAGAGGATAGACGTGTATAGAAAGGGGAGCTGATTAAGGAGTATTGACTCACACTCAAACGTGAAGTCCCACAACAGGCCGTCTGTGAGCTGAGGATCAAGGAAACCAGTTCAAGGCCCAAAGCCTCTAGAGTGTGGAGTCCGACAGTGCAGCCCTTGGTCTGTGGCCGAAGGCCTGAGAGGCCCTGGCAAACCACCCTTGTAGGTCCAAGAGCCCAAAAGCTGAAGAACTTGGAGTCTGATGTTTGAGGGCAGGAAGCCTCCAGCATGGGAGAAAGATGGCTGAAGACTTGGCCAGTCCAGTCCTTCCACGTTCCTCTGCCTGCTTTTATCCTAGGCATGCTGGCAGCTGATGAGACGGTGCCCACCCAGATTGAGGACGGGTCTGTGTCTTCCCAGTCCACGGACTCACATGTCAATGTAACACCCTCACAGACACACCCAGGAGCCGCACTTTGCATCCTTCAATCAAGTGGACATTCAATATTAGCCATCACAAGTCCACCCCTTGTCAACCTGAACCCACAGAGCTCGTGAAATCATACATAACCTTCAGATAAAGACAGTGAAACATACTCATTCTTAACCTAAGTGCTATTACATAAAGTTAATGACACTTAAATGCTGATATGAAGCCCATAAATGCGTCACATCTTAAAGGAAAAAGGAAATAAAAATATATTTTCTCAGCACAAGTGTATACATGCACAAATACGTTCTTAAAATAAGGAGGAAATACTCATGATAATGAGAGTTCTATTTCTGCAGCTGGTCAGGTGGTGGTGATGGCTGCCTAGTTCTGCTTCCCATTCTGTATTCCCTTTGCCTTCAGCAAGCACCTCAGCAGGGTGTGTGTGTGTGTGTGTGTATGTGTGTTTCCTGGTGGAGTGACCCAAAACTTCATTGCCTCTGGGCCACTTGTCATCCTGCCTGCACTGGGCTGCTGCATTTCCCATTGACGTTAATCACAGGGCATGGTAAGAGTAAGAGACGCCCTAATGGACCTCCTGTATTCCAGGCATACTCCCCCTTGCTGCCACCGTAGACTCATAGACTGATTTCTTCTCGATGGTCCAGGTCAGTCACCCCAGCCAACACTGTAACACTCTTCTTAGCCTGTTGACTTAGAGGTAGGAAAAGTGCCAAGTGACCCAGTGGCAATCTTATCTTCCAATTTATTATTTATTTATTTTAGAAGGAAAGAAAGAAAAAAAAAGGAGTGAAGGAGAGGAAGAAAGAGGAAGAAAAAGAGGGAGACATAACAGGAATATTGCTTTATTCTAAAAATGGGTATTAATAATGGCCGATCAATATTTTGTGTATTTAAGGTGGAGAATGTATATGTTGTGTATTTAAATTGGAGAGCTCTATAAATATTTATTGAATTTACTTGTTCCAGATCTGAGTTCAAGTCCTGGATATCCTTATTAATTTTCTGCCTCATTGAGTCTAAGTCTCTTTATGGGTCTTATGTATCTGGGTGTTTGGATCATTAGCTCTTGTTGTTGCATTGATCCTTTTACCATTATATCTTTGTTGCTTTGAAATCTATTTTATCAAATGCGAGAATTGCAACTCCTGCTTTTTATTTATTATTTATTTTTGCTGATAAAATATATTTTATCTTCCAATTTAATAGAATCAGTGTGTCCCTGGTGGTAGCATTCCTCCCTCTGGAACTAAACCTCTAGACCAGAGGAACATAACGTCATGGGAACAGGAAGCAAACATTTTGCTAGTGGGTCACCAGGGGTGACAGTTAGTGCTGTCACTCCCACTGTCACCCCTTGGTTCCTGTGAATCCAGGCTGTGGGAGAAACACTACCATGTATTGGATGCCAATTCAGAGCATACACAGCCTTCTGGAGAACTCTGCCCCAGCCCTGCAAAGTATTGTCACCTAGTTGGCATTGTAAATGTGACTTCAAAAGGCCATTCCACTGTTTTATCAGTCCAGCTGCTTCAGGATCATGGGGAACTTGGTGTGATGGCCAGCAGGGGTCCCCCCATGTGGCATCTCTGGGCCACTGACTAAGGAGGTGACACAATGAAATTCACAGTCCTGGCAGAGGTGCTGTTGCCAGAGAAGGGGACAGATCCAGACCCCAGGAGAGGGTTCTTGGATCTTGCACACAAAGGAATTCAAGGTGAGTTGTGGAATGCAGTGAGAAGAAACGGTTTATTAAAAAGATTCCACTATGGAGGAGGGCATCTGCAGAAAGCAGGCAGAGGAACGCAACGTCTTTGTCCTGAGGTTTCCTTATGTGGGAGTCTTGTCTATGAAAAGAGTAAACTAAGCTGTCCTGTGTGCGGATGGGCAGGCAGCGTGACAACATTGAGTAGTTTGTTAATGTGAAGAGATCATCCGTGACATTCCAGCGTGTAAGTACATCAAGGCATAACTGTGGTTATCTTGAAAGCACGTATTATGGATATTGGAACATCTGGACTTTCTGTTGTTGGAGGAGGTTGTCCTTACAGGCATCAACAAGCTGCCTCCTTCGCTGTAAACGTCTGAGGACCATGGGTGGTGACTGACAGGGAACGGGCCTTGCCAGTTTCAAGACGGAGCTGAACTGAAATTGTGTCACTCTGATGCTCCTAGGTTTCTGCTTCCCTAACAGCACCAAAGCAAAACATAGGGGGCTTCCGGCAGATAAAGCAACAGATCCCCCCTTCCCTAGCCCCTCTGCAGGCCCCTGCACCTGCTCAGTGGAGAGCAGCGGGTTAACCCCCGAGGATCTGCAGCCAAGGAGCTGAAGACACTTCCCTGCCATGTGGGGTTTGCATCCTGTAAGAAGAGACAGACATAAAGGGTTAAACAGTGGGTTTGAGGCGATTTTGTTCGTGCGTTTGTCTGAGATAATCTCACTCTGGCCCAGGCTGGAGTGCCGTTGTGTGATCTCGGCTCCTTGCAGCTTCCGTCTCATGGGTTCAAGTGATTCAGGCACGAGCCACCATGCCTGGCTAAATTTTTTAAATTTTTATTTATTTTAGTAGAGATGGAACTTTGCCATGTTGGCCAGGCTGGTCTAGAACTCCTGGCTTCTAGTGATCTGCCTGCCTCAGTCTCCCAAAGTGCTGGGATTATAGTCTTGAGACAACACACCCGGCCCAAAGGCTATTTTAAAAGACTCCATGAACCAAAAGGAGCAAGGAAGAGAAAGGGGTGAGCCGGGATGTTTGCTCAAAGAGCAGTGTGACTCCTTGGCATCTGCAGGGTGGATGGAAGTTTGAGAGGTGGGGAAAGTAGGTGTATCAGTCAGGGTGGGGAGGCTGTGCTGCGGTGGGAAATAAACTCTTGGCTGCATGGCACAAAAGATAATTAATCCACTTATATCAGACCCCTAAGTGGTTGGTGGTAGAGGCAGTGCACGGTCCTCCGTGCACCTATTCAGGGACTGGGGCTCCTTCTCTCCTCCTGGGAAGGAGCAAGTCTCAACACACAGGCTCCAGGTTGCCATGGAAGGGGCAGAGAGAGGAGGATGAATGTGGAGCTTTGTCGTAAGGCAGGCCATGGAAGAGTCATGTGATTTCTGTCATAACAAGGCCCCACGTGGATGCCCTGAGTGTGAAATGAGGTCTTCCTATGGGCCCAGTGGTGGGGGCAGTAGAATGTAGACATGTGCTGAGCATATGGCAGTAGGTCTGGAAAAGGAAGGGCATTTCTTTTTTTTTTTTTTGAGACGGAGTTTTGCTCTTGTTACCCAGGCTGGAGTGCAATGGCGCAATCTCGGCTCACCGCAACCTCCGCCCCCTGGGTTCAGGCAATTCTCCTGCCTCAGCCTCCTGAGTAGCTGGGACTACAGGCACGCGCCACCATGCCCAGCTAATTTTTGTATTTTTAGTAGAGACGGGGTTTCACCATGTTGACCAGGATGGTCCCGATCTCTTGACCTCATGATCCACCCACCTCGGTCTCCCAAAGTGCTGGGATTATGGGCATGAGCCACTGTGCTCAGCCCAGGAAGGGCATTTCAAGCATAGGGAGCCAGTTAGGCAGACTCAAAGGCACAAATGAGCCAGGTGTGTAGGTGGAACCGAGCTGTGCTGATGTGGCAGGTGGTCATTGTTGAATGAGAAGAGAGGAACGCGGACTGGAGGAGGAGGGCTCAGCCCTCAGGAGAACGTAGCTGACCCCTTGGGCTTTTCCTCTTGGCAGTAAGTAGTTGGCAAGGGAGGTGCTGAAGCAGAGAAAGGTGTGGCTTGTTTTGATCTAAGGATGAGAATTCCGGCAGCAAGGAATGAAAGAGAAGGTTGGAAGTGGCGAACTTTTTAGGAGCCTTACACAGAAGTTCTTGTGAAAGAAAAGGGTGTGTCGGTT